ACAGATTTCTTTGCAAGAGTGCACTGTGCACCTGGACACTAGAAACTACAAGGTCATGGCTCAATATTCACTGGCAAGCTATGCAGTGATTTTAGTCAAGATTTATCTCTAAAAATGGGAAGTTTTAAGTTGAGCTCAAAAAACAGCAAGTCCTTATGTCGTATTGCTGTTACCTCCTCTCTGCCACACACAAACACACACGAGTATATCTTTCTACTTAGTAATAATAGTCTCTCTTATCGTGGACCCAAATTTTCATAAAGTGGGAACAAAAGCTAGCATGAGAAAACATAAGAATTTAATACACCTTTCTATTGGAAATTCAGCCATATCGATAAATCCTACAATTTTGATGCTCTTAATGTTGAGGCAGCTAACTAGCCTTCAAAGTGCCTCACTTGCAGCTACATTTTTCTCTTAATTGATAATAGGAAGCAAAATCAACAGGCTTCTTTGGTGCTCTTAATTTGATTGCATTTGATTGATTTTAACTGAATATTGCTTTTTTATGTGATTACTTTAAAAAAAAAAGTCGCTGAAGCATTTGATGTACCATGTACCACAGGTCATGCTCATAGCAATCAATCTCATCATTCCTGGCAAAAACCTGGAAGTACTGCTATTTTGACATCAATTCGAAATCCTGAACTTAATAGCATTCTAGGAAGCTGGTCTACTTCAAAGTTACCATCAGCTGGATCAGAAGGGTCAGTTATAAAACTTCCAGGGACTGATAGTGGTCTGCTGAGCAGGTGCAACGAACCATATCGTCCTCCATCATTTTATAAGGTCTGTTTCTCTTTGTTTATGTACAGAGAGGGGTAATAGGGATGAGGGGAAGCAGTTATTCTTTATTGTAATTTAGTTGCAGATTTGATTGTGGTTTAAAATGTTGATATAGAGATTTTCAAAAACCCTTTGTGCTTTGTTCAGGCAATGAATCATTCAGGTAAACTAAAATATGGCACTTCTAGCAATGGAATATCTGAATGTGCTGAATGGTCAAACAAGGCGAGGTCAATGGAGGGAAATTGGAGGAAAGGTGATTTTTTGTGTACCCTATGCTATGTATAGTGTCTTCTGTATTTATATAGGCTTTCAGGTTAGATATATTCATGATTTTATCTAATGTGGTACCTTAATTGCTGGTTCACTCCTAAGCTTTCATAACTTTTTGCTTATTCACAACATAAGGAGTAACGAGCAATTGTGGGCAATCCTTTATAATTTAACTTGATTTTGCCTTTCAATTTGGGCAATACATGAAAGGCAAAAACAAGTCAAACTAATAGATAGAAAATTCTGATGCAGATACTTGTCTAGTGCTGGAAGACCATTCAGCTGCGCCAGCAGTTACCAGCAACAAAAGTCCTTCACCTATCTCTCCTTCTATTCCTGGATCTGTTGAAAGCGTCTGTTCTATTGGGGAAGCTTCTGAAAAGTACCGTACAGAAGAAAATCCTGACCATCACCCTCTGACACAGGTAAGTATTGTAATTATAAAAAAAAAAAAAATCCCCTTTTCTCCAATCTACAAATTATTGCAATGCAATGAACACAAAGTGTGTGTTAGACTAGATGTCTAACTATTGCAAATATGTATTAAAGGAATGGCTGTTGTAGTGTCATACTGAATGACCAAGTTATACGCTAATTTGTTTTATTGGTGCAAATTGTTCACTAATCTGTTTATAGGAGATATATGATGCCGTAAGCTTCTCATACGTGTGATTGTGTGAATGTGCAATAGTAGATGATAATTTTTAAAATAAAATGACTAGATTTTACTTCAAAAGTTTTATTGCCATATTATTGTGTCAAAAATGAATTTCCTGTATCAATCTGCTATGCAATGATGTCTAAGCCAACTAGTGCTTCAGTTTCAGTTTACAAACCTACAAGCTATGTAATGACCGCACAATTTGCTTAAAATGGCTAAAAGGTGAACTTACTAATCTAGCTGTCCAATGGTGCAACAGTTTACTTCTAAAAACCAATTGATTGAAGTGGATTCTGGAGTGGCTATCAGTAAAGAGCAGTTGCAGCCTTTTCAGGGTCAAATTTTGGATGGAGGTCGGTTCTCTGCCCTTATGAATTTGGAAGAAGCAGAGGATATTGATGCTTACTTTCTCGATGAGGTATGCTTGTTCATCATTTCTGGTTGAACTCAAGGTGAATTTTATTAGTAACTTCAGGTGTTACTTTTGCAATCATGATTCTTGAGAGAGGAGTGATAAATGTCCTTCCCTTGCCATTGCATCCAAGGCCAATAGCCTATGTGAATTCGCTACCTCAAAGATAATCTAAATGAGCTTTAGTGACCAGTTACTCATTCCTATTCAAAATTATATGCCAGTAAATATTTAGTGCCACAGTATGTGCTTAATGTGTTGATTGCAAACTTATTTATTCCGTGCTCCTTGTGTGATTTTTTGTCTTGCTTTGAACTCGGCAGACTTGAAATGTAGCAATAAGTTTCGAGTCTTTGATCCCAGTTTCTCACCTGCTCTTTATTTTGATATAAATGATTTAAAAACCTACATGACATGCATAGTCAATATGTATTTGGATGAGCTGCCATTTATGTAATCCCACTTCAACAATCCAAATCCATCTGTTTCTGTGAATGTATCCATAATTAGGTTTTGTCAATCACCAAGGCACCAGGTTAGTTTTAATGATGAAACAAGAGTGTTTCAATGGGTAGCACTACATAATGCTATATTTGATATTCATGCAATCCAGAAAAAGAACTAGCTTTCTTTGGTATCAAATCAGCAACATAATTTCCTTCTCGTTTCATAAAGGTGACCTTTATATGTCTAAAAACACTTATACAGCACCCTGCAATGATTAGCAACATGAAAATAGCAATTATCTGTTATAAAAGGCTGGTGAATTAAAGAGAGAGCCTGTGAGTTGTCCAAGTATTATATAACAGTTATGTCAATAAACTAGGCCATTTTGTTAAAGTATGTTGCCTAGATCAACATATTATATACATTGCTATTAAGATTGGTTTGTTTGATAGCAAACCATCATTGTAAATTTGTAGTAAAGATCAGACCAGACCATAAATTATGCCAACACAATTATATTAAGAAGAGTACTTAATATATTCATTCTTGACCTTTGAATTTTCATCCTTGGCAGAAATATGATGTCATGGTGAATGGAAGAAACGGCTCCAGAACTAAATCAAAATTTATACACTGGTTTCCAGATAATGGTATGTTGTTACAACAGTGATCTCTCTGTCATAGACCCTCCTCCCTTGGCCTTTTAGTTTTAGCCTTTCGTTTCCTACTCTTTGATACCAGTGTTAATAATTCTTTTGCCATTCCTTACCAGATAATTATGATGGTAACATCTTGTCTGAGGCTGAGAGAGATGGGTGGAAAGTTTGGAGAGAACCTACTGGAATGTCAATGCAGGTGAATCCCTTGGGTCAAAAGAAGTCAAAGGAGGCAACAACGTATGGCCAGAAAGCTTCATTCAGGGAGAAATCAAAGACATGCGTTATTGACTGCCTTGACTCTGACAGTGTTGTGCTAAACTGTTGCTCTCCTGATCGCAAAAATCTTGATTCTCGGATTGTTAAAGAGCCTGAGTTGGAAAAAATAGCTGATGAAGCTGGTTCAAGTTTGGAACTCAATCTGCCAGATGAGGATAGTTTGATTACTGTTGATGGCATCTATATCTTTGAGCAAGAAGAGCCAAATAGTCCTGAGATCCCTATCAGAGGTGAAAGAGGTGTTTCTCCTTTCCGTGGTTCAAACAAGCTGAAAGGATCAGAAAGTGTGCAGGAAAAGTTGAGCTCACCAGATCCACAGTATCATGAACCTCAGATAAATTCCAAGAATCTATTTGTCCATCCTTCTGATTCCCTGGCTTGTGTCAGTACCCCTCCTACTATTCAAGATTCATGGAAGAATCGTTACAATCCCATTCCTTTTGCTCCTCCTCCCTTTGGTCAGCTGCCTTTGAAGCCAAATTATGATTCTGTTGAGAATTTTCTGTCACCCAAAATGCCACGTGCTGATGACTACTGCCCTGACCTCGACAAAATTCTGTCAGCTGATCCTTCAATCTATCATCAGTTTCTTCAGTCTCCAAGATACAATCAGGAGTCTAATGTGTTAAGAAGTCTTCCTCTCAATTATCAGACAAATGTGAAATCAGACATGTATATGGGAAAGAGAGGTAGTAATCGACAAATCACACTGATTCTCTATAAGCTGGTTCTACCTGATACGTGTAAACTTAATGTTCCAATTCTCTTTGTAGGTTTTCATGCTGAAGAGAGCAACAATTCTCCGATCAACCATCACCTCCAGATACAAAGGAAGTTGGCACAGATAAGTCTTGAAGCAGCTGAGCATAGGGCTTACAGTAAAGCAATCAGCAACCGTTTCTGGTAAAGATTCAGTAATACATAATTACTTAATTAGTAGTCTTGTGCTTTGCATGAAAATGAGCTTGTTTGTGAACATAAAAGTCGGGTATAGAATGTTGTTACAGTCAATAGAAGTATCAGTACACAGTCTGTGCTTTTTAGTGAAGTGCAAAATGTGGAAGGAAAGAAGAAAAAAAAATGGATTCATTAAAATTAGTTTCACAAAGTAGAATCTTATCATATGTAAATAAAATTAAGTGCGAATTGTGAATAGCCGAAAAAGGGCAGAGGTAAGGTTTTAGTATAAAGTAAAAATGTAAGTACCCGTTGATGTCTGTAGTCTATGCTACATAACCCCAAAGAATATATATATCCTCAATGAGAAGTATAGTTCACTTTTGGCAAGTTTTTTTAAGTACTCCTTTGCCTTTCTATGCTCTAACTGATCTCATTTTACAAGTAATTTTCGAATGAAACCATGAAACTGCATATTGTCTATGATGATGTGCTTGGTGCAATGGTGCACCATTTTGTGTGGGTATATTTGTAATGTATAGGATTATTTGATGAGCCAAGAGTCACTTTCTCATTTACCACTGCCTGCAAAACAAAATTTCCAGTACTTCTGATGATACAAACAACAAGAACAAAGCCTTAGTCCCAAAAATTCCAAAACTTCTGATGGTACAAAAATCTCTTACAATTTAACATTGATTGGCTATTATAATATTCAATAGTACAACTATGAACTATACTACTCAACCCTATCTCTAATCACACATGAACTTAAGCTTTACACCTAACGGAATAAGTAGACAATTTAACTAATCCAATATGAATAATATTTTTTTTTTCTTCTTTTTTGTAGTAATACTTCAATTAACAAATAACACAACCATTTGGATCTTCTTCAACGCTTCTTGCATAACCATTGTATCTTGAGTAAAGGGGATAATTGTAGTAAGAGTTAGTATAGGAGTTATGGGCCTGCATAGCATGTATAAAGTCAGACACTTGGACCACAGTATTGGGCTCCTCAGGATTCTTGGGCTTTTCGGGCTCTTTTGCTGGCCCAACTGTGACAATGTCAGTGTAATAGTTTTTCCTCAATTTCTTCACCACTGCCAGAGGATCCATGTCACCTATTACTGTCAATTTCTTTTCATTCATATTCATTGAGATTGAATCAATCCCTGCAAAAATAAAAACCTCAATTATTCATATTCAATTCTTTATTTAAAAAACCAATTATTCTTGAAAATATTGCCACAAAATGAAAGGCTATTTTGGGGAAAAAAGTGTACCAGGAATAGAAGAGACCAATTTTATAGCATTTTGCTTGTTATTATCATCTTGGATATCCAATTTCACCACCAACTTCTGAAGCAAAACCCAACGAAAACGAAATAATTAATTACATGAAAATAACAACTAAAAATTCAATAGCAAGATGAGATACTCGGGGTAATTATGTGTATATACGTTGGATCTTAAAGAAGTAGAGAATCTAACCTGCATTCTGTTATCCTTTTCTTGGTTCCTTACAATACTATAGAGGGGGAGATATGAGAGAGGAGATAAAAACAATTACAAGTAAGAGAGTAGAAAGCAATGACAATTAGTGTATTAAGAATGTAGGAAGTGATAAACATGAGTAGTCCTATTTATACGGGGAAGGGAAATGAAATTGACAAGCTTGTCAATGGGCGACAAAGTCCAAGTCTTTTGTATGTCCAAGTCTTCATTAGACTATGTCTTTGTGGATCTGTGAATGCCGCGTGTGTCAGTCGGGTAAGGCTAAAGGCGGCTTCCAATGTCTCCAACTTGTTGATTTTACGTGGATACACAGACACTGTTAAAACTTAATAAGGTGAACACACCTAAAATAAATGTTACGGAGTGAATTTCTTCATGTATGATTTCATTTTTAATCATCATTTCCACTTCTCAAACACCATATTAATTATTTTGTCCTCATTTTTCAATTATTATTTTTTATTTCAAGTGAGATTATCTAATTATGAGTACTTTTCTTAATTTACTTCTCGATTTCAAGTGAGAAGAAAAGTTTTTTCATGTCTAATGAAGCTAGTTTTAAAAAGTTCTAAATATTGATGAAAGATTGAACAGTTATTATCGTATACTATTGAAGTATTGATAATAAAAGTGACGCCTTTGTATTATTTTGTTTATGTGTTTGACTACGGAGTACGAGTAGTACGTATATACTCCCTCCGTGTTGATGAGACTTGAACCCGAAATCTCCTTAAGCGACATTAAATTGTTTATCACGTAAGTTAACTTTTGTTGAAAATATATTACTTGTCATTAGTTAGACTCGTACCAAAATTACAAAGTCGGAACTGACTGTGTCATGTTAATCCAAAATGATCTGCATCATATGGTCAATTTGTCCAAAAAACATCTTGTTGAGAAGTTTCGAACTCTTTGCAATCGTACTTGTCCAGCCGTCAACATAGTAACATGGTCTTTTGGCATTCGCTTTTCCTAACCTTAATAGGCCTTGTTTGGTTGACATTCTAAACTGGAGGAATTGAAAATTCATGGGAATTGAGAAAATAAGGAGTTGTTTGGTTGACATAACAAAGCAAAAATAGGGGAAGTGGGAATTCATGGGAATTTCAACTTCCCACAAATAATGGGAAGTAAATTACCTAGCCTCCTAGATAAACCAAAATTCATGAGAATTCTAATTTCCCTTATTGCCAACCAAACACATTTAAGAAATTCCTAAGAATTTCATTAAGGAATTAACTTCCCATAAAATATAAATTCCTATGGAATTAAATTCCCACGGGAATTAAATTCCCACATCAACCAAACAACACCTTACTTATAAACTACTTCCTCTATTTTGTTTACCTGAAACAATTTGTTTGTCAATAATTTCAATTCGTTAATAATACAAAATTAATTACAATTATCATTATGTGAAAATTATGCAATTCTAAAAAGTTGTTATTTTAAATTAAAGGATAATAAAAATATATAATAATATATAATTATAGAGTACATAGACAAATTAAGGGTTTTAAGTATTTTAACCGTAACTTAAGTTTTTTGTTGAATTTGTTGATCACTTAATCCTATAACACGATATTAGAGTTAAAAAGTCACGAGTTTAAATTTTATTCATCTTTCATTTTAAGTGATATATAAAGTTAAGTATGGGAATTTATGTTGCATTTACATTTTGAGCCCAATGAGAGTGGAGTGTTTAAAAAATACCTATAGATGGATCAAAATAAGTAGCATTGAATTTTAATACCACTATACAATATACATGAAGTATAATACACCAGACATTTCAATATTGACCAATTCTTTGAAGAATACGGGTGTTTTTAAGATTTACCATCTTACAAAAAAAACTTAAAATTGCTTTGTATTATTAAAATGGCTTTTGCACATGGAAAGAGCTTTACAGCTAAGTGGACCAGTAATTTAATTCATTCACTATATGTAGTTAAAAATAATACAAGTATACATATTCTGCTCCACAAAAGTCACAATAGCGATTTCTACCTTTTCAGGCAATTTCACTAATTATTTATCCACTGTTTTAGAAAAGCTCTTAAAGTGAAGCTTAATTACTTAAGTTTGAAAAAAAACTCCCAACTTACTAGCTAGAACCGGGAAAAACTAAATTAAGGAGAAAAGAACGATTTTGTTCTGGAACGGAGGGAGTACTACGTAATTAACAAATAACGCAACCGGTTGGATCTTCTTCCACGCTTCTTGTGTAACCCTTGTATCTGGAATAGCATGGATCAGTGTAGGGTGTGTAGTAAGTGTTATGCGCATGCATAGCATTAACATAGTCAACCACTGGGACTACAACTTTGGGCTTCACAGGCTTTTTGGTCACTTCTTTGGGCTTCTCAGGCTCTTTTGCAGGCCCAACTGATATAATTTTAGCACTATATTTCTTCCTTAGTTTTTTCATCACATCTACTGGATCCATCTCCCCTACAACGGTCAATTTCTTTTCCTTCATGTCCATTGAGATTGAATCAATCCCTACAAAAAATTAAAACCCAATATTAAAAATATGCCACATTTTAATGGAAAGCTATCTATTTATTCTGAACATGGAATTACCAAGAATAGAGGAGACTAGATTTATAGCCTTTTGCTTGCAATTCAAATCATTGTGGACATCCAATTGTAGCACCAATTTCTGAAGTAAAACCAAAGTTAAAAAAAAAAAAGACAAATTAAAATTACTTTATTAACACTAACATTAAACAGATAGCTAGGAAAAGAGGTGAATTGTAATTATATTATTATAATGTTACATTCATCTATTAGAAGCGAAACTAAAACAAAACAGTTTATAGAATAAAGACAAAGAAACAATGTTAAAAGGTTTAACCTGCATTTTAGCTAACCGGAGATTGTACAATGTAGGGAGAGTGATAGATGAAAGTATGAAAGTGGTGAAGTAAGAACTAAGAAGTGTAGCATTATCATGTGCAATCATGAATATTTATAGGGAGTCATTGGCCGACTCCAAAGCCGCAAAACAAGTGAAATAGATGTTAAAAGCCATGTCATTTTTATTAATTTTATACGATTAGAAAATTTTGATTATAATAATTCAGGTTTGATAAGTTTAGTTTTTATTATTATTTAATAATTCCATCTTTATAAAATATTCTATTTCGAAGCCCTTCCTAACCCCCATGCCTACCCCTCCGACTGTCCCGACAGCCCTCTCCCATAGCGTCGGCCGATCAAGACCACTCCCCCACCCGGACAACCCAGTTCGCAGGGAAGTCGGTTGGGTCGGCCAGCGTAGGGGAGGAGTTTGGGCTCGCCGACCTTCCAGTGAGGGCTGCCAAATGGTTGGGGTTGGGCTGGCCTTTATTTTTTAATTGTTTTTTTAAAAAATATTTTATTTTATTGCTCCTTTGTCCTTACTCGTTGGTCATGCGCTGTTCTTACGTCATTCATATGCCACGTTGAAATTTCACAGTTTCCAATGTCTCTAGCCTTTTTTTTTTCTTCCAAAGGTGTTAATTATCCCACGAGTATTATGGCCATTATGGGGATTTGCTGATCTAAATGAGTTTTTTTTTTTTGTTTATTATTTTTTTATTTTTTTATTTTTATTTTTTTAAGGAAAATGTTACCGGCAAAGTACTTTGTGGAATAGAATCTAAATGAGTTTGTCATCTCTACAAGAGAATAAGGTACTCCATAATTTCCTATCCTTGTATTTCCTCCTTTATTTTTTAGTTGATCTGCATTGACTTGTATATTATTGACCACTTCTTCTTTAATCATTTTTTATGAATAATATATATTTAAGGGTTATTTTTTAGTTGATCCGCTTTGACTGATACATTATTCACCATTTTTTGTGAATAATATGTAAAGAAAAACATATTCATGTAGGTCTTTTCAAATTCGTATTAATCAATACTAACATAATATATATAAGTTTTAAAGAGTGAAAGACAACTTGAATGGTTAGAATATCTCGTTCGATTCCATAAGTTCTTGTGATCGATTCTCATCACTCGTCTTGTGGCTCTCTAAACACCCAAAAATGACAATAGTAAGAGTAACTTCTCTACCTTATAAAGTGGAACCACCTCTCTTCATTCTCCAATGTGCGACATTCACAAGTGGGATACATTGGATTTTAACAAGATTATTAATTTTCATTTTTCCTTTTTTTATTTTATTTAGTCGGGTTTAGAGAATTTGTTTTATACTCCCTCCGTTTTTAAATACTTGCTCCATTTCTATTTTTTGCACTATTCATTTGGATGTTTCTACTATGGTCATCTTAAGTATGACTATAGCTATACTTAAATGTCATTGGTTGATTTTAGATTTATTTTTTTAGCTTGGTCAAATCTTATTTAAGGGTAATTAAGGTATTTTTCTTCTTTAATTCATTGTCTTATTTTTCAAATTTCAATTAATGAATTTCTGAAAATATTATTTTAATTTTCGAATTTATTTTATCTAAATCTAATTTTAATAAAATCTAAAATTAAGATTAAAAAAATAATAAAAAAATCGAAAATTTGTTCTTCGTCGTTATTCGATGTTCATCAATGTTCTTCCTAGTTCATCCAAATTTTTCATCAAATAATGAAATCAACCACGATTTTATGTTCCATGTACCTTAATTTCAATCGCGCATCAATTGAGATCGAAAAATAGGCTTGATTTATACAGCCATTGCGCAATTTTATGGTACACATAATCGGTTTCTATCATCCTGTGGGTGAATTCTTAATCTTTGAATTATAGATTATAGTTGTACAAAATCAAGCATCGGATTCGAAAATAGCGTTTAAGGTATAAGAAATAAAAAATTTTAAGTTTTTCGGTAATATATGTTCGTCATGAAAGTCTGAGAAGAAACCGTATCACATTTTTTTTCACAACTTTTTTTGATCCAAAAAATCGAAGATCGAATTATAAACACTGTTTGTGATAAAGGTATTGACCCAAATACAAATATGACATAACCTTAACTAAATTTTATTAATTATAAAAAGATAATGACCAAACGTAACATTGGACATTTCCAATTATTATAATAGAATTTACTTCGATGGTAATTTATAATACGATGAACCTGGACAATGATTCGAACTAATCAATAAACAAAAATTATGGAATCGATATATTTTAAGTATAGAAATTGCATTTTAATATTGGAAATCACTTATTCTAATCATGATCTTTTCCTAAATTTCTATCTTTTTAAATTTTGAATAGATTATATATTGGAAATCAGTTATTCTAAATAGGATATTTTCCTAATTTATTATTGTAGACACCCATTTGTGTCTCCCCAAAACCAAACCCAGTGATGAGTACCTTTCACGTCGAATCATAATCGAATGAAACGAAAGTGTGGAAAGGTCTAGTGTTGCGGAAAGTTTTTATTTCTTTTCTCTTTTTTCTGTTTTTGAAAACTTTATTTTTAAGAAAATAGCCAATCCAGTTTGGTTGGTCCATGATATGGGTCCAATAGTGGTGTAGTTGGATGGGGTTTGCAAAGACCTTTCCAACGATATATTATAAGCCCAATTCCGATGAATATTGAGGAAGTTATGGCCAATTTACTAAACTGGGCCCGGTTTGAGCTTCATGTGCGGCCCAATGATCTAGTGGAGGGCCTAATATGATTTATCATTCCTAATGCAATTAGGAATGGTTTTAGTCTTCTAGATTCTTCTAGAAGGTTCTTTTCATTCCTAATTCAATTAGCATTGATAAGTTGACTTTGTTGACTTTTCAGTGTTTTAATCAAAATTAATTAGCATTTTCGAAGAAATTATATTATTTTATCCTCCAGTACGGTAAACTTATCGTATTTTCGAAAACGCGTTAAAATCAAGACTGGCGTCCAACCCTAGGCCTTGGCGCCAGGCGCTAGCCACTGGTGTCTGGCGCCAGCTAGCCAGGGTTGGCGCCAACCTTGTTTCCTGAGCGTCGGACTCTATTTTGTTAAATTATCTTTTTTGGCTGATTTTCTCTATAAATGTCGTATCAAAAACTCCATTTTCATTCACGAATTCTCATCAACAATTAGTTTTAATTAGCTTTTATCAACAATCATTAATTCTTTAGCATTCTTTCATTCATCTCTTTCTTACCTTGTTTTTCATACAAAATTCCGCATTCACAAGATCTAGAAACACCTAGCCATATTCGAAGTTGCCTTCGCCCTAGACGTGAAAGGTTTTAATTTCTAAGGGTTTGGTCCCAAATCTCTCTTTCAATTATTTAATTTAATTGTTTTGATTATTATTTTCCTTGAAGTTACTAACGTGTGTATTTTGTTATTAGAAAGAGGTACGAAGCATCAAAGTAAGTACTTTAATTGATTTATTGATATTATGATGTAGAATTCATGTTTATATTGTTATTATGATATTCCTAGTATCATGTCTAGGGTAATTTCGATATTAAATATGATTGCTATGATGTCTTTTATTCTCTTCCTAATATTTATGATTGTTAGTATCATGTTAGGGTTAAAGATTTGATTTTTATTGCTTAGTGACATGCTAGGGTTTGTTATTAATCTTGTTAGTATCATGCCTAGGATTTTGCTTTTATGCTTTAACATAAATATTATTATAATTATGATTATTATGATTATTATTAACTATGATTGCTATGGTTATGATATTCGTTATTGTTCATGGTCATTATAATTTGTTATAATAATGGTTCATGATTATTTATTATTTATGATTATTATTGTTGCTTGATATTATATTTGTTATTGCTTGATCACCTTTATGCATGCTTAAAGGGAATTTGTACTTGCAATCACGCTTAATAAGATATTAAATAATCTTGTTAGGGTTAATGTGATTATAATTTCAAGTGATCGCTAATAATAGTTTATTTGTGCATTACATTCAACCAACATAGATAAACAGGTTTAGGGTAATTCTATTGATTGCATGTTAATCAGAAAGCGCACATGAATACGATCAGAATAAAGTAGAGGTCTATTATTAGGGCAGGTTCAATCTCTTTTAGGTTGGATTTGTACCATCATCCTCGAACCCTTATTTGGTTCATGACCTTATGGAGTTGACGATCTCTTGGATCGTTAAGGGGTGTAACCTTCATCTCGTGAACGGTTTACAAGTTCCTAAAAAACTTGTTGGCGACTCTTTTGCTCTATCTTCTTCCCTTTTGGACGCCACCGTACTTTAGTGTATGATCACAGTGGGGTTCAGGCTAGTGGGATTTTTAAGGCTTGAAATTATTCCCTACAATTATCTTTAAAAGGTAAATGATTTTTATCTTTTAAATTTTAAAAAATCTTTACAAACAACAGCGTTAGGGTTCTTTGCTTCACATCTTTATCATCCTCGCATACTCTTTTCAACCGAATTTGTTTCACAGTTTGCACAATTATTTTTGGTATTCACAAGAGTTGAATATGGTTGAAAAGAGTATGCGAGGATGATAAAGATGTGAAGCAAAGAACCCTGACGCTGTTGTTTGTAAAGATTTTTTAAAATTTAAAAGATAAAAATTATTTACCTTTTAAAGATAATAAATTAGGAAAATATCCTATTTAGAATAACTGATTTCCAATATATAATCTATTCAAAATTTAAAAAGATAGAAATTTAGGAAAAGATCATAATTAGAATAAGTGATTTTCAATATTAAAATGCAATTTCTATACTTAAAATATATCGATTCCATAATTTTTGTTTATTGATTAGTTCGAATCATTGTCCAGGTTCATCGTATTATAAATTGCCATTGAAGTAAATTCTATTATAATAATTTGAAATGTCCAATGTTACGTTTGGTCATTATCTTTTTATAATTAATAAAATTCAGTTAAGGTTATGTCATATTTGTATTTGGGTCAATACCTTTATCACAAACAGTGTTTATAATTCGATCTTCGATTTTTTGGATCAAAAAAAGTTGTGAAAAAAAATGTGATACGGTTTCTTCTCAGACTTTCATGACGAACATATATTACCGAAAAACTTAAAATTTTTTATTTCTTATACCTTAAATCGCTATTTTCGAATCCGATGCTTGATTTTGTACAACTATAATCTATAATTCAAAGATTAAGAATTCACCCACAGGATGATAGAAACCGATTATGTGTACCATAAAATTGCGCAATGGCTGTATAAATCAAGCCTATTTTTCGATCTCAATTGATGCGCGATTGAAATTAAGGTACATGTAACATAAAATCGTGGTTGATTTCATTATTTGATGAAAAATTTGGATGAACTAGGAAGAACGACGAAGAACAAATTTTCGATTTTTAATTTTTTTTTTAATCTTAATTTTAGATTTTATTAAAATTAGATTTAGATAAAATAATTTCGAAATTAAATTAAGAATTTCAGAAAATCAATAATTGAAATTTGAAAAATAAGAAAATGAATTAAAAAAAGCAAAATACCTTAATTACCCTTAAATAAGGTTTGACCAAGCTAAAAAAATAAATCTAAAAACAACCAATGAAAATTAAGTATAGTGATGGTCATTTTGAGAGTGACCATACTAGAATTTTTATATTCATTTATCCTACTTTGACTCATATTTGTGATTTATACCTAAGAAAAAATATAGTCTTGTGGTACTTGTTGAAATTATCTCAATGAATAGATTATTAATTTTCAATTGTTAGAATTTATACTTATTTTTTATTAAAGATATTAGTGATCAAAGATTATCATCGACATACGTGTCTAAGAAAAATGGAACAAGTATTTAAAAACGGATGAAGTATTTGTATACATTTGTTGACTCATTGATGAGTTCCACATTTGTAAAAAAAAAAAAAAAAAAAAAAAATCTAGTTCACTTAAATGCATTTGCTGACTCATTGATGATGCAATGATGGTAGTTCACTCAAAAACAAACCTATAATTCTTTACTTGTATTTAGTACGGATTATAATATTCTTTCAAAAAAAAAAAAAAGTACGGATTATAATATGATATGATATACGACGAGTAATGGTCTAATGGGCACATGCACCAGCTAAACTCATACAGAGTATTGTTCTTCAAATTTTTCCAGTAAACTAAGAGTAGGAGTAATAAACAATGGTATCTTTGTTTGCGTACCGATTATATTAAAAAAAAAAAAAAAAAAAAAAAAAAGGTAAGTAGAATTTTTTTTTAGGAAATCCCCTATTGTACATGCATTGGTGTGAGTGTGACTTGCTATTAAACATTACTACTCCGTACTTGCCTAATAACTAAGTTTTTATAAATAAATACCCCATAATTCTAATTCGTGCTATGCACGATTTGTTTAATGTAATTAATGATTAAGGGGCCTATTCTGTTCAGCTTAATTTTAGTTTAGTTCACTTCAGTTCATAATTTTCTTCTCTTATAAACAATACATTTCAACTCTATTCAGTTCACTTCAATTTAGCTGTTTTCAATAAATCAGAATACGCCCGAGTTATTTTCATTTCAATGGCCACATGTTCGATGCAAAATTGCATGTAGCAATTAAATGTATCCACAAAATTCAGAATTCATAGTGTCATGCTAAATTGCAAATGACAAAATGACTTGCATCTTCAAATTGTCAACTTAATCTAACTTTCGCTTGAGAAATTTGAATTCTTTGAAAACTCTGCCCGCATAACATAGTAAGGACTAACGAGTATGTAAAAAATAATTTGAGATCGACTAACATAAATCACTAACTATTAATGTATATTTAAAGAGAATGGGTAGAAAGCCGGATAAACTTATACTTTTTAACATTAGTGTTTGTTAATGGTATATAGAGGTGAAAGATAAGCTGTTTCGTGGTGAGTTTTATTATAGACAACTATTCCTTACTTATTAGTGAGCAATTGGACATGGAGTTTAATAAAAATAGGAATATTTATTACAAAAATTTTCAAATCTTTGAAGGAAACAAATGTGCTAAGTTTTAGCATCTTACAAAAAATTACATAAAATAAATAATAATAATAATTTTATACAATTTTTCAGAGCGTTTTTAATGCTTATATATAGCCCTAAGGGCTATGTATAGCATTACCCTAATAATAATAATAACAATAATAATAATAAATTACACCTATACCGCTATACGTAATCCACATTTACTTTTCTGATAAATGTTATTCACCTATTTATGACTTAGGAGAGCTCAGAGCTATTTAATATTAATATAAATAATGAATATATCTAACCAAAAAAAAATAAAAAAAATTGAAACATTGTTATGAAATAGAGGGAGTACTCCGCCTCGTAGTTAACAAATAACGCATCCAACTGGGTCTTCTTCCACACTTCTTGCATAAGCATAACCATTGTATCTAGAATAGTATGGATCAATGTAGTAGGTGTTACTCCCAAAGTTATGGGCTTGCATTGGATGAACATATTGAATCACTGGGACTCCAGATTTGGGCTCCTCGGGTTTTTTGGGCGCTTCTTTGGGCTTTTCAGGCTCTTTTGCAGGCCCAACTGATATTATTTGAGATGAATATCTTTTCCTTAGTTTTTTCACCACTGTTATAGGATCCATGTCTCCTATTATTGTCAATTTCCTTGCCTTTATATCCATTGAGATTGAATCAATCCCTACAAAAAATTTAAACCCAATTTTAGATTTTTTTTTTTTTTTTTTTTTTATAAAAAAGTATTTGACTTTTTAAAATAAAAAATTTTTTTTAAAAAAAAAAAAAACCAAATGCCATGTTATTATGAAAAGCTAGCTAGTTATTTTGGGACGTATAGAATTACCATGAATAGAAGAGACTAATTTTAGAGCCTTTTGTTTGCAATTCAAATCGTCATGGACGTCCAATTGTAGCACCAATTTCTGAAGGGAAAAAAAAACATTAATATAAGAAAAAAATACGAAATAAGCATTATTTTATTATATTGACCATAAACATCAAATTTAAAAGGTAAGAGATCTAACCTGCATTTTTGCTATGTTTTTGCTTTGCTTGATTGGAGAATTTCACACTTTAGAAAGAAATTAAAATGATGATATTGTAAAAGAGAGAGTAGAAAGTGTTGAAGTATGAAGAATAACAAAATATGTGCAATATTTATATGAAAATAGGGAAAGTGGAAATTGAATCAAGACTACTTACCAAGTCAACTGACTAATGAAAGCCAAGTCTTTTTTATTTATTGTAAGCCTTGTTTTTAATCTACCTTTGTACTGTCATAGTGTAAATGCCGCGTGTCAGGCTAATCAGGTGAGCCCAATGGCAGCTTCCATTTTCGTCAATTTGTCATTTTTAATTTTTGTTTTTTAGTCGTATTTTGGTTCTTTTGGTGATTATAGTGATAACCAGATCATGATTCATGAATGTGATCTCTAAATTAGACTTATACAAGTAACTTTTCTCGCCTACTTATTTATACTAACTCCGATTTTTTTTTATTTTTTATTTTTATTTTTTTTTTTGCAATTTGAGATATTATTTGAGAGATATAAAATATTTCAAAGTAACAACTAAAAAAAATCAGAGGTAGTATTTATTTTAAATACACACTTAAGTATTGATTTGATTAGTTTGTAAATTATTGATTTTGTTTATTTGCTATAAGTTGCTTTATTAGTTAAGATCAGACTCATTTTAGGTTTTTATTTCTATGTGAGATTTGAGTATTTCAAAGTCCGTAATCACTAGATTTGATATGGTAAGGGATTGATTTAAGCTACCTACTTAGCTTAACATTAAGCAGTTATGCACGTTTCGTGTTATAGCATATCTCAATCGTAAAATGAATTACTTGAAAAGTAATAATCAAATACAAGTAGGTGTTAGAGGCGTAAAACAAATTTGTAGCGTGCTTACAAAATTGCGAATACAAATTAAAAGTAATAATCAAAGTATGTCCCACAAAGTATAGGTGATAGAGGCGTATAAATGCAAATTGCCCAAGGAAGAAACGATGACTTCATCATCGTCAACGTTAGTCGTCAATGAATTACGCGTCAAAGTCTTCTCGTTTTCTGTTTTGAAGTTTCTTGCCCCTTGCCTACGTTCTAGTCGTTCCTTTTCCTCAGCCATCATTATTGACCTTTTTTTCCTTTACGACGACATGCATTAATATGTTATTTACTACTCTAGTATTCATCAACTAACTCACGGTGTAGATAATGTTAGATAGTTTACCCTTAATATATAATATAAAACCACGAGTAAAATTCTTTTAGCACCATGTTTTCACCCACTAAACACGTATTTTTTAAAGTAAGACTCTATACGTGTTTTTTGAATTTATGACCAGAGCAGATCACAGCAGCTTAAAAGAACAAGGCCTTATTCAGGCAAATATACTTGAAGAAGTGCCTCATATATATTAAGAAGCTAAGACTACACGCGCATAGAAAATTAAAAACCAATTGTATCTTTATATGTATATTGTTTATACGTATGTGTTGATAATTAATTTAATTAGTTAATCAGTTATGAAGAAGTATATAGCTCCATATATTGTAAATGAATGAAATATAAGGGGATTGAAAAAGACTTGTACTACTTGATATTACTAGTCCATTACTTCCTCTATATCTTGACAATATTATTTGTTTTTCAATGATCATACTATTCATACTTCATCCATTTAATATTAATTGAACAAAAGGGTATTATTTGTGAGATATAAAATATAATTTTTTTTCCAATTAATATTTAACGGAGGTAGTAGATAGTTGATAATTTGGTATGGGTATTATTAAACATCATGCATCAAATGAATTATTGTCCTCATTAGATTCTTATCAACACACAATTCCAAACTTGAATATCGATTTGGTAGTGCATAATTAAACATAACAGTCAAAATTCTTAAAAAATGTCTTAATTAGAGACATCAATATCATGCAAAATCACATATTAATTAAGTTGATTGCGAAATAGGGAAATGGAATATAATTTACTAAAGAGACTAAAATTGATTATTGGCATATTTAACAGAGAACAGTAGTAAATTGTCACAATTTGTACAACAAGTGTGAACTTGGAAAAGTGAGTGGAACATTATTTGTTAGGTGATCAAACGTCTTGGGTGGGGTTTTATACATTGTCACATTTTTACAATGACTCAAAATTAAATGCATGTAGGAAGTGGTTAAGACTAAAAAAAGAACTACTTTGGCAATATTTAAATTAGTTTTTTCCTTTTTAGGAAGAGGAAGAGTACAAGAGTAAGATTAATCATTAATTAGCCTTTTTTTTTCATGGTAATACAACCTAATTTATCAAAAACCTAATTAGAATATTTTATTTAAAAGAATTTATCTCTAGATCCAACTTCCAAATTATTATTGTAACATTTTATAAGTTTTACTATATAATAGATGATAAAATATATTAATATTATAAAAAAAGATTTGAATTGACAAACGTAAAACTTCATTAACTAGAGAAATTATGTTTTATACAATTATACCTTACACATTATTGGCTTATTGCTGATAACTATACATTAAGCATCTCTACCACACTCCAATTAAAATACAAGGCAAAACTCATAAAATGACTAAACATTATTAATTGTCATTAAGCTTTGAAAATTAAACTATTTAACAAATAACACAAGAGTTTGGATTTTCTTCCACACTATGATTGCTAACAGGATGATAATGAACATAATAGGGAGGTGCGTAAAAGCCCGTTACAGCCTCACCAACTTGGGCCTGACTTTTGGGCTCTTGTTTCTTGGGCTCATCTTTTTTCTTCTCGGGCTCTTTTGCAGGCCCAACTGAGACAATTTCTGTATGATACACTTTCCTTAGTTTACTCACTAATGCTACTGGATCTATGTCTCCTGTTAGTGTCAATTTTTTCTCCTTCATGTCCATTGAGATTGAATCAAGCCCTACAAATTCAATGTTAGCTTGTCAACATACCCTTTTCACCATTCATTTAATTAGATTATTCAGATCAAGTCCGTTTAATTATATTTGGGTTATGAGTCATTCAGATTGAGTCTAGTCAAATTAAGACACTCTTACTACTGTTACGAATATGATATTGTGATAAATTAGAATTGAGGAAATAAATCAACTATTCATACCAGTAACAGAAGAGGCCATCTTCATTGCCCTTTGCTTGCACTTCTCATCATGAACATCCAATTTCAACATCACTTTCTAAATGGTTCAACAAAAAATAAGTAGTATTAGCCTTAAAACAACATACTTGTACATAATGAGTTTTTTTTTTTTTTTTTTTTTTTTTTTTGGTGAAAAGAATATATAATGAGTTTAGTCTATAGAACAATTAAAAGAGAATTATTATTATTATTATTATTATTATATTGAGATTTGAGAATGGGAAATAAAAATAATACGTTCAGCAATCATCAGTCATCACACTTCTAAAAGTACTATTCCCTCGGTCGTGATTTATTAATAGTCATGTTAATAGCGTAATTAGACAATACAACATAAAATTAACGACTAAACGGGATAGAGGGAGTAATAACAATAATACATAATACGAATGAATTGATGATGAATCAGCAAAAAAAAAAAGGGAAGAAATAAAAAGAAATGGCATCTTATGACATACCTTCATTATTGATAAGGAGAGTAATTCGAGATCTGCGTTGAAGTGTTGTAGAATTTGTTCCTAGATTGATTAAGAGAAAGATGAGGAGTTTGAGAAGAGAAAGAGTTACTATACGTAATAAATAAAAGAAGGAAGTGTATTTATATTGAGATGTAGTCAATACTGAGTCAACCAAATGAAGGAATTTAAAGCAGTGGGCTCGACTAGTGTACTCGTACTATCCACCGTCGACTCTTAATAATAATAACCCTTTTGCCGTGTGGAGTTGGATCTTGGATGTGGTGCCGTTCTTCCTTTACTTGCCTTCTTTGGGAAGCTTTGCTGCCTTCTTTCAGGATTTTAATATTCATCAATAACTATATACGAAATACTAAAAGACACACTAACAATAACACGTGTTATCACCATATGATCTTGGCCAGAGCAAATGGTGTGATCTCGAACTATATTTATGTGATTCACTAAAAATTACTCATACTTGTGTATTCTATTATAATAAAGTAAAAATGTTCTAATTCTACTCTCTTTGATATGACTTTAACTAACTAAACTAATACAGTATAATCTTATACGGAGTTATATACACTTATAACAAATTTTTGTATCGTGACAATGGCAATCAACACATCAATTTTTTTTCCCAGAAATGTTGGCTATTGGTTGAATTATAAAACTTAATCAACATTGTTACCTCATAAAATAAGTATGTATCAATCAAAAATATTTTTATTATATTTTTTTTCCCCAATTGGATAATTTTAATCGAAATTTCACTTGTTGTGTGCTGTACTGCCGGTAGTTGCGCTCAAAATTTGTCCAGTTATGCTGGTAAGATCATGTATCACAATAATAAGTCATGTACTCACTACTCAATATTCATGTGCTATGCTTAAGGAGTATATACAATTAAGCCTACCACGACTTTCCAGTCAATGTTCGATCTAGTTTTTTTTTTTTTTTTTTTTTTTTTTTTTTTTTTTTTTTTTTTTTTTTTTTTTTTTTGGGAGATTTCCCAAGTTTTGGTACTTTCCTATGAGTAATATGTAAATTTATCTAGTAATTAATGCATGGGATACTTTAAATGGAGTAGATGTAAATTCGGAGTACTCTGTGAATACTAAGAATTGAAAAGGCGTTGATTTTCATTAGTGTTTTAGCACAGGTAATATAACGTTGTGAGCTAAAATTTCCATTTGTAGAACTCGTAGTTGTATCTTGTATGTCATTCATTTTAGCTTGAGTACATGTACTACGAGTCTACGAGTAATATAACAAAACTATTTAGATTAAGTTGAGCTTCTTAGAAGACTATGCTCATGGGTTAGTTTGCGATTAAAGCAAACAGACTGCTACAATTATCATTTGATTTTAAGATGAAACTTCACTTTGAGCTTTATTAGTGGGTCTCTAAAACGAGAAATAAACTTCTCTCGATGGCATGACTACTATCGACCACAACCACGTGTGTAAGTGTGTGTTATAAACTTACACATCCTAAAAAATGGTTACACAAAAACAAGGTTTTACTTGATGCTCCCAAAGTATATTAGCACAATCAGTATCATTCCCACTCATGGATTTGGGACCTGAGTTTCCTGTTTCTGTTTTTCACTTGTAGGCTCAAGGATAACGATTGGGCTCAAGGAGAAGGATATGCTTTGACAGAGTTCAAGTTGGGCTAAAAAAGGTAAACAAAAATTTTGGGAGCCCACGGTTGTTCTACTATTCGACCCATTAGACATCAATAAACAGACCACTGAGGTGAAAATAATGTACAGACTAAATGCACTTCATAAGAGCATCATCACTCGTGGTATAATTTTATACCACGATGTAAAAACTCATAAAAACATGCAATTTTTTACTACATTGGTGGTATAAAACTATACCATTTGATGGTATATACTAGGGCTGAACAAAACTACCCGAAAAAATCGAAAAACCGAAAACCCGAAAAACCGATCCGTAACCGTTCCGAAAATTAGGGTATCCGATCCGATAACCATAACGGTTCGGGTACCCATTCCGATAATTTGTTATCGGGTATGGTTATGGGTATCATTTTAAAATTAACGGTTACCCGATCCGATCCGATAAGCATTTTTTTTTGCTTTTTTTCCCTACTTAAATCTATTAATATAAATCTAAACTTTTACTTTACTTCATAATCACTTTATAATATCAATGATTAGTAATATTATTAATAATTTGGTCAAGATCATATGGTATTGTTTTTAATTAGTTGTAAATTATATCATAATAACGAACTTATCAGTTTCAGTTATGGGTATCACTTTTAGTGATTTTGGTTTTCGGGTACCCTTCCCATGCTCACCCCTAGACTATATACCATTCCATGGTAAACAATTGCTTTGGTCCCCGTGAAACATGAACCAACCAGGTCACGTCATATGGCTCGGTTATCATGTACTTTTTTTTTTTTTTTCAATTGCATTTTGAGAGAAAATTATAAAGTAAAAAATTACCATTGTTCAAAATTTTTCAAGAGCTACACATAGACACCCATATTGATATAGTTTTATTTTTCAAATTCACTTTTTAATACATAAATTACTTATTTTATTTAATCAACTTTACAAATATTAATTAGTTATTTCCAATAATAAAATGAAATATAATTATAATTAAATTAAGTGTATTATTAATACAAAATAGGAGAGAGAAAGTGTGGTTGTAAACTTTTTTTATACCATGGGTGGGATGATTTTTGGAGAAAGTATATTGTATTGTAGTATAGATAATGTGGATGAATGAGAAAGTGGTAGAGAGAGAGGGATGGTATAAATTTTTATACCATGAGTGATGATGGTCTAAGCACAAAAGGTACATTTATTTATTTTCTTATGATACATTAGGAATTTTTCTTTATCAGATGTTTCCCTCGTGAGGAGCATGAGGATTGAGGGGGGCTTTCTAATAAAAAAATATTGATGCGAAATCATAATGTTTTGAATTTTAACATTGATTATGATTTATGAAGCTTGTTTTGATATTTTTTTTAATATTATATAAAATAAATTTAAGTGCTAAATATATTTGGATTTTTTCTAAATGAATTGATATAATATTTTTATAACTTATACTTAAAAATAATTAAATATACAAAATATATATTAATGCTTAGAGTCGTGCGTTGTCAAACAAATTGAAAATCAAAATGAAATAATTAAAACAACATACCGATGTATGGTACTCCATAGTCCGTAGTAGACTAGTAGTAGTAATGGTAAGAAGAAGAAAGGGCAAAGAAACTTAGCTGCCTACACTATGAAAGAGGAAAAACTTCTTTCAAATCAATTGACAACTTGTAGTCTTGACTAGGTAGGGGAAGACAATGGAAAATCAACCCAAAAAAATCTTGAACCTAAAGAAAAAAAAAAAAACCTTGAGATTTCAATTGGAAAACTAAAAACCTTACACAAGAGTAGTCAACTATAAAGATGGATTTGATAAGGATCAAACTCCCACCTTGTGATTGGGAATTTGGGAGAAGGTATATCTATCATACAAATCTTTCTAACAATTACGAATTAGCAAAATTATACACATACTTCTTTGATTTTATTTTTATTTTTATTGTTGCAACGTTGATTATACACTCAAGCATACTTGAAGGAATTTACTGAAGATGATGGGTTTACGACACTTGCCCCAACATGTGTGATGTATCACAACTTATATCCGGTCAAAATAAACGTATAACGCTATATGCTGATGACTCTCCACTTGATTAACCGTATATACGCATAAAAAATGGTAGAATCAATGCCCACCATACATTATAATAGAGGATAAGATATCATGTGAAAAGTATAGACAATTAGGCAAACTGATGTGAAGTAGACCTTACTCAATCACTCATCTTTCAATCAATGTTTAAGTGGCCTCTAATTGTATCAAGATCAAAAAGTAGCCAAACACAAGCATATGTTGATGGACTAAGCTCCACCTTTAAGAGACCACCTAGGAAGAAAGGATATCAAAGCATAAGATATTTTTCACCCATATGTGTCACAATCTTATTGGTCAATTTTTTGCCATAAAGTATTCTCCTACCAAAAAAATTCCTAATATTTTGTCATCTCCACAACCTTAGGCTAATATGAAATGACACATTAGATATTACTTAATAAAAAATATTAACAAAAATTTCACATTATTATACACTAATCAATAACGCGTCGACTTCGCATTGGCTAATTAAACTCCCACTTAAAAACTCATATCACCATATAAATAAGCAAATTACTAAATAAAGTATCCTACACTACATTTTTCAGCTGCTCATCATTTTTATTTTCTTTCAACCCTAAAAAAATTAAAAAATCAAAAAAACAAAACAAAAAAAAAATCTTCTATCATCTTCTTCTGTTATCTTATTGCAAATTTTCTCTCTCCTCTCCTTTAATGGTGTCGATGAACCCTAGTTTGCCGGAAGGATTCTACTTGGACGCTAATGGAGTCGCTTTACCGGGATTGAACCCGTTCTCGGCGCCGCCACCGGAGGAATCGCCGGCGACGGCGGCTACTGCGACGGTGTCTTTATTAGATGTTTCCCTCGTGAGGAGCATGAGGATTGAGGGGGGCTTTCTAATAAAAAAATATTGATGCAAAATCATAATGTGATAAGGATCAAACTCCCACCTTGTGATTGGGAATTTGGGAGAAGGTATATCTATCATACAAATCTTTCTAACAATTACGAATTAGCAAAATTATACACATACTTCTTTGATTTTATTTTTATTTTTATTGTTGCAACGTTGATTATACACTCAAGCATACTTGAAGGAATTTACTGAAGATGATGGGTTTACGACACTTGCCCCAACATGTGTGATGTATCACAACTTATATCCGGTCAAAATAAACGTATAACGCTATATGCTGATGACTCTCCACTTGATTAACCGTATATACACATAAAAAATGGTAGAATCAATGCCCACCATACATTATAATAGAGGATAAGATATCATGTGAATAGTATAGACAATTAGGCAAACTGATGTGAAGTAGACCTTACTCAATCACTCATCTTTCAATCAATGTTTAAGTGGCCTCTAATTGTATCAAGATCAAAAAGTAGCCAAACACAAGCATATGTTGATGGACTAAGCTCCACCTTTAAGAGACCACCTAGGAAGAAAGGATATCAAAGCATAAGATATTTTTCACCCATATGTGTCACAATCTTATTGGTCAATTTTTTGCCATAAAGTATTCTCCTACCAAAAAAATTCCTAATATTTTGTCATCTCCACAACCTTAGGCTAATATGAAATGACACATTAGATATTACTTAATAAAAAATATTAACAAAAATTTCACATTATTATACACTAATCAATAACGCGTCGACTTGGCATTGGCTAATTAAACTCCCACTTAAAAACTCATATCACCATATAAATAAGCAAATTACTAAATAAAGTATCCTACACTACATTTTTCAGCTGCTCATCATTTTTATTTTCTTTCAACCCTAAAAAAATTAAAAAATCAAAAAAACAAAACAAAAAAAAAATCTTCTATCATCTTCTTCTGTTATCTTATTGCAAATTTTCTCTCTCCTCTCCTTTAATGGTGTCGATGAACCCTAGTTTGCCGGAAGGATTCTACTTGGACGCTAATGGAGTCGCTTTGCCGGGATTGAACCCGTTCTCGGCGCCGCCACCGGAGGAATCGCCGGCGACGGCGGCTACTGCGACGGTGTCTTCTCCGACGGACGATTCGAGTAGTAAGAAGATTAGGAAGCCGTATACGATTACGAAGTCTCGAGAGAGTTGGACTGAACCTGAGCACGATAAATTTCTTGAAGCTCTTCAGCTGTATGTTGAATTTCATGCCTTTTTAGTTTACTTTTTTTTTTTTTTTTGGTAATTTTAAAATTGATTGATATTTTTTAGGGTTTGTTAGTGATTATTACTCTATTAGTTGTTGGTTATGTTGAATTGACTTAGATTGTGCTAGGAAACTCAGAAATTAGAATTATGCCTTTTGAGTCAAAAATTTCTGCTATTTTCCAGAATTACGAAGAATTGGTGAAATTTTGTGTTAATTACTGTAAGTTAGTAATGATCAATGTTATCGCGAAAATTTTACTGATTTGAGGAATCCCTGGTTGGATGTTTGCTTGATTTCCCGCTCTAATTTTGTGGCATATTGGGGGGAGGTACTTGATTCTGGTTGGTGAGTTGTATGATCGATTATAATTTATTTATGGCTTTGAGAATTCGTGAAGATGCGATTCTAACTGGGCAATAAAAATTGGGGTTAGTTATTAAAACATGTTTCCAGATTGATTGGTAAGGGTTTTAGGTCATGCTTTGATAATGCCTTAATGTGCATTTTTGTGAAATGGTCAATTAGTTACACAATTAGGTTTATTAGCTGTTTTTGTTGGGAAAGGCAGCTCATTTTTCTCTTTATGCTACGGAGATGAAGCTAGCAACATGGACAATTAGGAAGCTTTCACGTTTTTGATTATATTGGCCCTCTTTTTATCCTCTAAATAGGAGAGGGTACCTACTTACCCGGACTAAAAGGCAGATGGACAATTGTTTTTTTTTTTTTTTTTTTTTTTTTTTTTTTTTTTTTTTTTTTGTGGGCTGATTTTGCCCCAAAACAGTGAAACACTTTTCAGTCCCTATTTGGTTACACAACTTTGTGCTTGTTTGATGAGTCACCGAGTCACCGTGATCCATTAAAGCTGCATCGTGGAGCAGTCTTGCAACTCAAAAAATGATATATATTTAACTCCTTTCACTTGTTTCATGTTTGCCTGTCCTGTTTCCATAATTTCCTTTTAGGATTTTGATATATGACTTGCGTGTTTGGTGCACATTTTCATATATTCCCCTTTCCTCACTTCTCAAAATATTTTTTCCTTAGCCCCTCTTCATGTTTCCCCACACTCCCATGGGATTTGAATTCTTCAAATTAGGCATTTTGTGATCTCAACCCTTTCACCATCTTTCATCAACACCATTGGCCTTAAAATATGTGCCACTGAGAGCCTTGACCTATTCACATTGCCCATTACATGACCACCGCCCACCGCAAACACCTCAACGTAACATCATTGCCACTAAGCCTCTTTCCCAATGCCACTACTTTTCCAAATCACTGTGAATTGTCGGCACTATTATCAACATACCTACCACCGTGATCACTTTACCAAGTAGTGTTTTCGCCAAATTATAAATCCAAAGGTCTCGTCACTTCAAATTTTCTACTCTATTATGCTTGAATTTGGCCAAAAAGTAGGGTTGAAAGTCAACCATAAGAAGGCTACTTTGTGGTCTCATTGGTAGTTTTTGTGGAGAGTGGGAGGGAAGATGGTGGTGATGAAGCATGGATCATAGATATTGGAGGTCAGTGATGGCTTGGTGATGTTGGGTTTGTGGTAGTGATAAGATGTCTGTGGTGGAAAAGGGACTATTAAGATATGTTGGGCTTGATGAGTGCTGGTTGTGATTGCTTTTCCTTTTTATTCTTTTTCTGCAAGCACTTGAAAATTTGAAATGGAATTAAAGCTCTTTCCCCTCTCCACCCAGACAAGATGGATCAATGAAGGAGTTTTTATACTATTCCTTTCGTTTATCTTTGTTATTTCCTTTCCTCATCTTCAAATCAAACTGCCCCTTATTGTTATTAAATAAATAAATAGTGATTTAAGAAGGGTCTGGCAAGCAGAAAGACCAGGAAAGTGAGAAGACTGAGAACTTGGTGTGGCTGCTCATATATCAATTATTGAAGGAGGTGTATGTATCCTTGAGGCGTGTCATAGTAGAAGATATGAACAGTTTATAAGCTTGAAAAGCAGCATACTGAACATTGAATTTCCTTCATATTTTTCTACTAAGAAGTAAAGCGTCATTAAAATTGCTGTTATGTAAGCGATGAACTGAAAAGTAACAGGTAATTGGTAATCTAACTTTGTAATGCCATGGAAAAAAGTAGAAGATTACTTACTGTTGTATTTATAAAATAAGATCAGTAAGACAATAACATAAGTGAAGAGATTGAGTGTAAAAGTAGCCTTTGAAGGCTCTGAGATTGATGAGATCAACTACTTGTTGGACTTATAGTGGGACTTTTGATCATAGATAAATATTGGTCCACCACCTGGTTACCTTTAAAGAACAGATTCTTTCTCTTTTCGGTTGTTAACCTGATGTCATTAGTGTTAAGTTGAAAGCATTGAAATCTGTGGGTTCACGTTTCAGCAATAGAAACATAGACCATTTTAGTCCAAATATAGTGGGATGAAGTTTTTCCCTGGAATTGATTTGGGATTCTGAAACTAGTGAAGCTGGGCGACAACCTTACAAACTAATATAAGTGTTATGACAGGCAGTTTGTTGATATTTTCTTTCGGTGACCTTTTATATTAAGATTATTAACTATCCACCCCAAGCCCTTGAATAACATTACACTTGTACTTTCTAGCTAAGCTTGAATTTCTATAATATGTGATTCTGCCATATTCACTCAAATCTTTGTTTAATGTATTAAAGTATGTAGTACTAATTCTTTTTCCTTACTTTCTGTAGTTTTGACCGTGATTGGAAAAAGATTGAAGCTTTTATTGGGTCAAAAACTGTTATTCAGGTAAATTTATTGCAACTTTTCTAGATAATTGAAGCAATAAATGTTTTTCCCAGCTGTGATAAATGTTCATGCTGTATAACAAACAGCTTTTGCGAAATTCATGAGAAACTAATGCCTACTGTTTAACGCCAAAATTGTTGTCCTTTTCATGAACCACTAGTGTTTTTTTGTTTTTTTAAAAAGCGGTGTCTCAGTTTTATCAAACTATGAGAATTCCCTATGAGTAAGGACAATAATGATAGTAGCTTCTGCAGATTCGCAGTCATGCTCAGAAGTATTTTCTGAAGGTTCAAAAGAGTGGCAGCAATGAGCATCTACCGCCTCCTAGGCCAAAACGAAAAGCTGCGCATCCATATCCACAGAAAGCTCCTAAAATAGGTTAGCATTTGTCACTTCTGAAAGGCAATATGGAAATCCTCCCCCCCCCCCCCCAAAGCTAACCTTTCTTTTCTGGTTGGAGGATTTTCATGATGGAATTGCCTGATTGATCTCCAATTTTGTATTTTGTTATCTTTGTTGCACATTTTGTTTGAAAACACTGTGTGAGCCAGCTCTTGTTTTAAATCTTTGTAACAGGTCCATCAGTTTCTCAACCAACAGGTTCTTTGCAATCGTCTTCTCTTTTGCTTGAACCTGGGCTTCAAAGGCCAGATTCTACTACAATACCCCAATATCCTGATAATACTGCAGCTGTATCTTCATGGGTCAATAATTCTCAGCCTAATGTGGCTAAAGGTTTCTTTACTTTTACTTTTTATTTTTTAATTTTTTAATTTTATGTTTTCAGATCTACAAGCTGAATTTTCTGCTTTTAGTTCTTAACCTGTTTGAGTTTTGTTTGATCAGGTGAATTAAAACCCCCAGTGCCACCAATTGCAAATAACTGTTCAAGCAGTACTGAGAGCACAGCAATGGCACACAATACCGGTGGACCGAATGAAGCAGTAAAGCATGCTCCACCATTAAGAGGTGGTTGATAAATTCTCTACTTTTTCTTGTTTAAAAAACTGAAATTTAGTTCATAGAAAATTGCATGTCTGTGATTAGTTTCAGACTTTCATCTTCACCAGTATAAGTACGTGTATATTTATACAACCATGAGCCAAAGGAATAGCTATGTTTGGTTGTTCATGGCCCCTTGATGCAACTTTCTTCCTCTTTGTGGGTTTAAGCTGGTGGGACTGCTGCAATCACTGTCTTAAATGCAGTTGCAGGGGATGTGGTGCTTTAACTTATGAATTGTATACAACAAGGAATGTATGATTTTAACCCTGCTGCTACGTAATAACGCAATGGAATTTTGTATGTATGGGTTTATTCTTTTTATAGAACAAGCTATAGTGTCATTCATGTGTTCCATATCTACATAACTATATTTTGTTTATTGTTTATATTTGTGTTTTTCTGTATTATATGGAAAAGGTGAGTGATCTACTAAATATAAGTCTTGCCTATCTCTGATGTGAGTTAATATTAAAAGGCTCTTCAGTGTAGTTCTGGTCTGTTTGATTTTGTTTTATTGTTGCAAAATGATGTATGCTGTGTTTTTTTGTACTATGTCCTTGGCTGTTTTCTATATACTCATTATGCACTCATTCTAAGTATGTGTTGCATTTTCTGCAGTTCTGCCTGACTTTGCTCAAGTATACGGTTTTATTGGCAGTGTCTTTGACCCAGAAGTTAGTGGTCATATGCAGAGGCTTAAGAAGATGGATCCAATTGATGTTGAAACGGTGTGTTCTCATTCAGTTATCTGTCATTGACATGTTGTTGATATGTTTTTTTTTTTCCTTTTTCTTATTCACTGTAGTTACTTTGTTAACCTTATGCTTGGTCTTTTCCAAACAATGAATTGATTAGATTTGTCATTTTCAACAACCCCCCCACCCCCCACAACAAAAAAATAAAATTTCCCGTGTCTTCAAATCAACTTCATTTAGCTCTTTGATATTAGGATTGGGTCAATGCCTCATTGTCAAGGTATATATAACATTCCTAATATCTATATCCAGAAGCCATTGATAAGCTGGGTCAACATCTAATCTCTAGGACATGGCATAGCCCCATTCAAACCTTAAATCAGCTATGTTTCACCCCTATTATAGGCTATGCATTAATTACTTGTGCATCTTTCCAACTAGGTGCATGCTCCATTTGTAAGGATAAGGCTTGTTTGAGGCAAGGGTACATGTAACATTGAGGCCCGTATTAGTAGACCAAGAATTTGACAAAAACGTCATTCACAGACTAAAATATATCAAAGATTAAGGTAAGGCCAAGCAAAAGGCTAAGGAAAAGGACTGGGCCAAGTCCAAAGACTAAACCATGGCTTCTTCTGATGTCCATGCTAGGCATCTGTCATTCTAGGATTACCAAGTTCACCTATCCGGCCATCCCCTTTCTTAGTGATCTATATAACCCTTTCACATTTGTGGCTTGCCTGAATACATTATCTGCTACTCTGAAAGACTGAAAGTGTAATCAAAAGCTGAAAATTTGCAATCATGAAATGTCAGTTTTTTGGGTCCTGTTTCTGGTACATTTTTCCATTTTAGACATCAATATTAATTTTAGAAACATTCAGAATAAGCAGAAGATTAATATTTTGTATTTTTATAAAGAGGATTGTTTGTACAGGCCTTCAGGGTATTGTAATTTGCTAACTAGTGTTTTCAATTTATACTCCCTTTGGATTACTGAGAAGCAAACTGTGTATCTATTGCTACATCTTTGTATTAAACGTTCTACGATTTAGCTAATTGTTTGTTGTCGCAATAAAGATCTCGTCATCAGGCTATATAGTCAATTTACACTTAACAAATGTACCAACCTCAAAAAATGTGGGAAATGGGGCAGTCAAGCAAAGTCCGTAAATAACCTTCAGAGTTTCCTAGAGCTAATGAAGTGGTGAGACTGTCAATGACATTGGATCAAAGCTGCCTAGTTTAAATCTTTTTGAAGGTTAAATTTTATGGTTGTGTATTTTCTTGAAGACTGACGTAGCATTCTTGTTGAAGTTAAAATTTAGGATGACTTACAGTCTTACAGGTACCTTTATACCCTTGTAATGAGTGGACTGCAATTGACGCAAGGTCCAAGACCAATTTGATTTACAAAGGCCATAAGTTATTATCCTGAAACTCTAGGAATAAATGGGGGAAAGCTCTGCTATGTCTGAAATATTTTTTGGGTGACAGAGAATTTTTGGACAGAATATGAGACGATGGAGGGAAGTACTTTTGAATCGGTCAACAGGCAATGGCCCTCGAGGCTATAGATCATACTATATTTTTGATTGATTTATTCTAAGTTCTTGCAAGAGCCATTATTGAATCTGATGTAAGATCTTTTCAGAAATTAGAAGCAAGTCCTGCATTTTTTATCTGAACCATAAATGAAAATCACTCTGTAATTCACTACTTCTTTGAGATCATCTGGTGTGCTGCACCAAAAATTTGAATATTAATAGTATTAATTTTCAAATTCTAATGTCTTTTAATTTATAATTGTCGCTAGACCTAAATTTAAATTCATTGGCATTTAAGTTCTCTACTTGAGTTAACATGTCTATGCCGACCAAGACTGTAGGTGATGCTTAATTCCAGGTTTTTTTGAGTGTTTAAGGTTATAGTGTACAGTTGTACACTTATAACAGTTATAAGTCTATGAAACCTTTCACTGGCCAAAAAAGAATTTTGTTGTGACTTGGAGCGTTAGTCGTTTTGGAATTTGGGATGACAAAATGTATAAAAAGACAGTAGAAGACTAGAAGCAATTGATAGTTTCCAAGTCCCTGTTAAATCCTGTTTGAGCCTTGAGGCCCATGGAACTGCACTGTAATTTGGGAAAGTTTTGTGAACATTAAGCAGCCTCTGTGTCCCCATTAAATATCAATACTATAGATGATTCTGGAGCAGACATCATCATGCAAAGCCTATCTTATAAACCATATCTCACATCCTTTAAAAGTAATTTTTAAGTTCTGACAGAAAATCCTTGTGCAAGCTCACTGCGAACCTCCTCAACTTCAAGTCAATACTCCTAGAAACTCTATAATCATATCTCTTTTTTTGTATCCTAGTTCAATTTCGTTGAAACCTTACTCGTGCTTATGATTGGAAGCATCTAGCATGTAAAGATGTGCGTGTTGTACATTTGCTTTCACAGTACTCATTAGGGAAAAAAAATTGTATTTCATAATATCTGTTTAGTTTCTTGTCTTGATTTTAGAAAATGTGGTATGTTGGACTGTTGGTATTGTGGCTTAACTTCATTTGTTTGAACTTTTGCAGGTATTATTGTTGATGAGGAATCTCTCAATCAATTTGAGGAGTCCTGATTTTGAGGATCATGTAAGTAAAAAAAATTGCATTACAAGCGACTTTCTTTTCCTAAATCACTGTTGTTGCTTTCTCTCCCTCCCTTTTGGATGGGTCTTCTTTCTGTCCCATATATGTTGCAAAACATCTGCCTTAGATTTTATATGTGGATATGGTGTTTTATTTATTTGTATCTGACCTAAAAACCAGCGTATCGTGTTCTTTCCCCAGGAAATTTATTTAGAAATACAAACACCCTCCTTTGATTTGGTAATTGGCCTGCCCTGAGTTGAGGGTGTTTAGAGCAGTGTAAGACATTATTCTGGAACCTCAAAGCATCTGCAGACTGCAGGTGTATGTAATTGGGATGCTAGGTGACAATCTCAGTAGTGTCACATTTTTCTTTCATGCTAATCAAAACCCTTGGGATTGAGTAGGCTAGAATATAGTGGGAAGTGCAATAGGAGATAACAAATTTTCCCACATGTGTAATACCAAGTGTTCAAGTGGTGCAGAATGATTTTTCCTTGGAAGAAAGTGAGGGAACAGAGAAGACAGCCTGTATGGGTTGAGCATGAGAACTTTTATCTTGCAGGCCTTCTTTACTGGCCTGACTCTCTTATCTGAATCACATGTGACTGAAGCTGTACTGTTATACTCTTGCTGATCTAATATGAGCGCAATGGAAGATTTACCAGTGTGGTTGCATCATGAGTGTGACACAAGCTGTTTCAGTACTATGTGTGTATATCAATGCTTTTTAAGGCTTTTGTGGGGTTGCTATATGAACTGATACCAACGGTCCTTTTTCCCTTCTATGTTACGATGCATCAATCCTTGTATTCCCGTATTTATTTGGGTTCCTGTCAATGTTCTTTGATTTATAACAAAAAACATTGAGTTTAGTCCCACCAACTCTTTTTCTATTTTAAGGGCTCTATTGGTTGTGGTATATCTGTATATGTATATCTGATTACTGGTATTTTTGGTATCATAAATGTTTATTTTTTTCCTTCTTTTCGTTGACAGAGAAGACTGCTCTCATCTTATGACATTGACTCTGACAAGGGCATTCCTGGTGGCATGAGAGATGTTGTATGTGGCAAGTGATGAGACTAAGTATAGTGCTGCGGTGCTGCCATGTCCTACACAAAAAGGGGCGAACCATGAACGACCACTTTCCCTGACCTTTTTCAGTTGATAATTGGATATAGGATTAGCCTAGTTTTTCTTCAGTATCCTTTTGTGTATATAGGAGAAATTCGTAGAAGTAGCTGAAATGTCGTTCTATTGGTTGTAAAGCTCTCAGTTTGCTATTGATGGTTTCGTGTATAGGAGGGAGGCTCTGTATATTTGAGGGTTTTTTGGGGTCTCAGACATAAAATTCTGTATGTTCTGTGCAGTAAGTTATCTTCTGCTTCTTTAGTTAAATGTAAGTTGGCTTGTATATTTCAAAAGCTAATAAGATACCAGACAACTGATCTCCAGTGTTGTTCGTGTTGATTGTATTCGAGGTTGTTGTATCTTATTGACTACTAATTCATGGCTTCATGCCTAATGTTAATAATCATGTTTATCAATGCATCATCTCCATGCTACTGCTACATAATTGTTTCTTCTTGGCTAAATATTTGGTCCAATGTTTTTCAATATTTTTTTTTTTTTTTAATTATTTTTTTTTAAAGAAGCTTTTAGAAAAGTTTGTTGCTTGGGAGTAGTATGATTCAATTGCAATGGGGGTGTTTATTTTTCCCAGAACTCAAGACGAGACAATGTAAATTTATGTAGAACAGTAGGATAGATTCCAAACACCCTCTTATTTTGAAAAACTATCATATACTTAACATTTTTCTTAATCATATTCAAAAACAACATATTTGATATCATAATCAATTCTTATTCTCTTCGTCTTTCCACATCTCATCCCAATTTTGTTTGGCTTCTTCAATACCAAGCAGGGAGCCTTTCTTCTCAGCATCCCAACTAGTTGATAAAGATCCATATGGAACACCGAGAACTGAGCTTCCAAAGAACACAAATGTTGTTAAAAATGGCACCCAAATAGGCACATCCCACAACTGTTTTTCCTTCAATATGTCAAAGAGTTTTAGCAACAGCACCCCAATTACCATGGGCACGCCCACTGAGGTCAAGATCCTTCTTACCATCCTATCGAAAACAACCGATGGGATTTTATCATCGTCATCTTCTTCTTCTTTGTTGTCTTGACTCGAGCCTTTTTTTGGTGCATTTGCCTTCTTCTGTATCGAGTCATTTGCACCCCCAAATCCTTTGGATTGAGCATGCAACTTCCAAGAGCTTGTATAAAGTGAATGATGGTTATTTATTGTTGTAGAGTAGAATGGTTGGCTTCTTTGATCCCATAAAGATGGTTTTGTAATGCAGATGGGTTGTTGATGAAAGATTGCCAAAGTTTTCATCCTTTCTTCTTGTTAAGCACTCTGAGTTTAGTGCTTACCATACAATGCAAGGTAATGCAAAATACTTGTATGTTTTGAATATTGTCAAGGTTTATCCGAAAACAAATGGGTGGTGGTGACCTCATTTGGTATGTATCAAGTGGAGATATTTTCAAAGAGCCTTTTTGTCTCATTGTTCTATCATCCTTTATTCAAAAATTTAAGGAATCAATTATCAATCAAGCAAACAAAATATACCAAGAAAATAAGCGCGAAAATTCTCAAAATGTGGCTCAAGTAATTACTACTTGTATTATTTGTGCTTGGTGTTTTTTTTTTTTTTTTTAATCTAAAATCTCCCCAGTGGAATTAGATGATGCACCTAGATAAACGAAATTCTTTATACCACTCACCTTAGATAATATGTGGGTTTTTAATGCTAGTATAATTCATTTTGAGACTAAAAGCTTTGTTGTAGTAATGTAATTATAATCTGCAGGCATTGGGTTTTATAATTAAGTTATTCTGCTTGTAAATCCATCTTCTCCTTTGACAGTCAGATGATATTCATATATCAAGTTCAGAAAGGCATCCCAAAAATACCATACATTGACAATATGTGGGAGTCCTTGGTTCTGTACTATACAGATACAAATCAGTACATAAAAAAAGACGCATAATACGTGTGGGCCAGCATGTTCTCTAAAAATACATGATCAACGCCGCAGCTTCTCATATGAATTAGTTGCTACCTGCCTCAGTGGAGAAGTACGCATAGGACTACCCGAGTTAGTAGAGGGAGAAGGTAGTCTGGATCTCATCGGAGAGCTTAATAGAGATGGTCTAATCAAGGGAGATGGAATAAATGCTTGTGTTGGAGACTGCAGGATTGGAGTATTATGATATGAGGAAAAAGGCGATGCAACTGGACTCTGACTCAGATGAGAAACTGGTGTGGCTCCAGCAGATCTTGGAGCTGATCTTATGACAGGCAACATATTTATCCGTATCCTACAGATACAAAAATTTATGTTCAGAAAAGGCGACAATAATGACATTACTCTTTCAATCCTTAGTTTGCAAAATTCACTAGATGTAACTTTGCAAGTGGTGAAGAGTACTAATAGTTAGGTTTGTAAGCAAATCTAGACAGATTTATAGAGCATCCTTGCACTTAAAATCATCATTAATAGTGGTTTAGCCTCAGAGGTCAGAAATAGGGCACGTAACATGGGATGAAGAGAATGCTTCAAGTTAACAAGATAATACTACAACTGTATTAAGTAGCCTCTTACCTGTTGTGTACATCGACATAATCGTCAGTCTCGTCAAAAATTTCCTCCTGTAACACAATGCACACAGAATTAATGAACATATTAGCAATGATGACAAAAAAATCAGGAAAAGAAGATGACAGGTTATGCCAAGATTGTAGGAGAGATTACTTCAGCCTCATACCACAAAAATGCTAGACAATACAATATTCGTTGCTATACTGATACAGACATATTGAAATGCATTATTTTCTTCAACTGAAGCCATAAAAGTGTATTCAAAAACTGCAAGAGCTCTCATCAAGAGCTTTACAAACATATACAAAGTATGTAGAATATGTGTGATTTTGATGTTCATGGGAGTCTTATCATAAACTTCAAAAAAGTACTGTCATCCTTCAAAAAGTATTTTCACCCCTCCCCTACCCTTCCAAAAAAGGTGATTTCTGAGTATACAAAACATCATCAGAGTAGCTCAGCACCACTACAATCTCTGCACTAGGAAGCAGTAAAAAAAAAGGAAAGTATACAATATACTGATAGAGTATTAAGATTTTACCTGCAGCAATTCCTCCAACACGTCTTCCATTGTGATGATACCAATAACTTCTTCACTGGGATCGGGGCAAGAATCTAGATCAGGTACCTGCAGTATAGTATCTTCGTGATGCAGAATTACATTTTTTCCTAGCTCCATGGCATCAAGCATTGGAAGACTATGAGGTCCAGTTTTAGTTGAATGCACAATGGATGTGTTCCTTGATGTTTTCTTTTGATCTTTTCTATGGTTTTGATGATTTACCCCTGTGGAATTGTGTATAACTTCAATGTCAAACATCTCTGCAAGATCTACTACTGCACCAGCAGGAAAGTTTGCAGATTTATGTCACCTATACTAATTATACCTTTTTTTTCCTGATTGTTCAGGTCTTGAGATTGCATTCGTCTTCATCACAGATATTGCAGAATTGGATGTAGCATCTGACATATCTTTCACGCCTTGTTTCCTCACAACTATACCCATATGACTATGACCCATTTGAAATAGGTTCAGTATATCATACAGTGGCAAGTGATCGTAGAATCTGTAACAGTTGAAATGCTCATTAAAAAGCTAAAGAAAAAGGATGACAGCATGCAAATCATTACAGAGAGAAGACAGCCACACAAGATGTGCATATGGCTATAAATTATGACCGCCATTGCTGCCCCCTAAAAAAGAATTTACTAGTACACTGATACAGAAAGCTAATCAAAATAATACAAAAGAAATAAGCATCAAATTCAGGAACTTCTGAGCAATGTATAAAGGTCAAACCTGGAGATCTTTCTAATAGTGAGATTTCTTATAGGAGTTTCATCTTCAGGTCGGCAAACAACCAAATTTTTTACCTGCAATTGAAAGAAAATTATTTTCAAGTGCCATGAATATGCATGGATGAAACTACATAGTTACGTACTACATACTACTGGTAAATAGGAAGTGAAATACAGGCCATTTCTGACTTGTGATTAAATGATTAAGAGCAAACATTGCCAAGGAACAGAGAATCAAAGGGATAATCTTTCCCATGCTAAGTTTGGTATGTCGACAGAAATAATTTTGTTTGTGTTTGGGGACGAAGGCTATTGATCAATCAACTAAGTTCCATGAGAAGTAGAAGATTTGCAGAGAGATAAAATTTCTAAATGAAGTCTCCATCAAATCAACAGGAGGAGGAGATTTCTTGAAAATACCGTAGCTATTGTTTGCAAAAGGGCCACCATGGTGGAAAGAGGGAGTATGAGAGAAGATAGAGGAGAGAAATGAAACGTGATGATAAGTTATTCAGAAGAGGAGAGATAGAGTTGCTCAAATAGCTACCATAGGGTAGGGTAAAGTAGTGTAATACCCTTGTTCAGTGGGAAAAAATTACAAGTCCAATCCTTTAGCCCCAATACAGGCATACAATTCCAACCCTTATTTTTCATCCCCCCCCCCCCCACCACCACCACCACCAATTATACCCGATCCAGGAGACTCCATCGAGAATGAAACTTCCCCGGTTTAGAGTAAAAGACCTAGTAATCTTTTTACATATCCCTACTCCCTTACCAAAATAAGGCCTATGATATTTGAAGGGCAGCCAGAGTAAATAGGCACTCGACTGTGCCCCTCCCTCATTATCAGCTCCATTGTGTCCCTGGAAACAACCAGTGAAGAAAATTTGAGAATGGAGAATGTGAAAATGTACAAAACCAAGGCTAATGAGAAAGCTCACTTGTCAAGTTTAGCATCTACATCAAGGGAAAATACTTTAGACATGTCAGTCATAGCATCTTTAGCAGTCTTTGTTGTTAGATCCAAAGCTCCACCAATGATAGTGGTTTCATCTTGAGTCAATTCCCCACCTTTGCCTGCCTGATGTGATAAAAATATCTCTGTGTTATGACACTTGAATCAATTATTAGCATGTTGTAAATTTACAACAAAACCTCTTTCTTCTAGAAAGATATACCAATCAGACTTTTACGCAAGGAATATAATTGTATACGAAGTAGAGGATTCACTACATACCTCATTGGCATGCAGGTCCACAAAAGTTTTCAGCTCTGAGCGTCTTAGCAAAGCAGAATGGCCTCTGCCTAGCAACCAGTCCAACAGCTGCCATGGCATAAATTTGGTACATAGGAAAGGCATATAGGATTAAGTAATCAAAAAGAACGGGAAACAGAAATACCCTCCACATTTTAATTACTTTTATGTACTGAGTATCAAGAAGAGAGACAAAATAAATAATTCCTCCATTTCTAAATAGATGCATCATGTTGACAAGACATGTTTGTCAATGAATTACTTTGACCATTAATATCTTTAATATGCTTCGATAAAATTTATAAGGAAATTTATATTTCGAAAATACACAATGAGATTAACTCAACAATGATTAAAATAATGATATTTATTTTTATATATTATTAGTAATAAAACATGATCAAAGTTAGTATAGGAATAGTGTTAGAACTCTAAAGTCAATATGATGCATCTATTAAGAAACTGAGGAAGTATATATATATAAATAAAGAAATAAAATCATACTTTTCCTCTGGAGATCACAATTACCTCAGACTACAGTATTTACCCTCCACAATTGATACTTCCTTATTTTAAGTATCTTAAACTGGTTAAGAGATTAAGTAAAGTGTTTCTCGCTTATGTTTTCCACTTTTCCGCCCCTCCCCAGTTTTCACCACACTTACTTGTGACTTATGAGGCAAAATACTTACCTTGCTGATAGGATAAGAAATGGGTAGCAGTAGAATGACAAGTACACGGACCAGAACAGAAAGTTTTGCACCCACACTTAGTCCATACTGAGAGCAAATGGATTGGGGAATTATCTGAAATTTAATCATAGTGCCACTATTAAACTTTTGTTACAGCAAAAGAATCCAAAACTTGGGGCAGGGGAAACAAACAACGAGAAAAAGGAGGAGAAAAGGAAACGACTTCTGAAAATTTTGCAATGATGCATATTGTTCCCAATTACCTCTCCAAACGCAAGTATAAGAGTGACTGATATCAATATGGAAGCCCACGCAGGGAGAAGCGCATCAAGGAAAATTGGCAAAGCCTGGAAGACAAAAAAATGGTGAAGGAAGAAAAAGGCAGGAAAGACAACCATCGATACATTCAGTTGCAAACATACCTCCATTGCCATGGCATTATATATGAGGAGGGTGCAGAGTAACAAGTGCTGATTTTTAACAAGAGGCAAAATCTTCTCTGTAATGATCAGAAAATGCAGAAGAAATGAGAATTTTTTTAATGTTTTCAATGTTAACTGTCAAGGACTTTTCAGAATAATAGCCTAAGAGAAAAAATTGTTATACAGAGACCTGCATTTCTCCTGTCCTTGGGCTGGCCAGACTTTGAAAGAACCTCAAGATCAACTAGGCTAAGAGACATGAGCCCTAGGGTAAGACCTGACATAAGACCAGCAAAGCACACTAGAGCCACACATATGATCAGATAAACCCAAAACATGGTTTCACAGCAAGGCACATCATTTGCAGCCATCTTCTCTCGGAAACAAATGCAAGAAACTTCACTAGAGATACCTTTATAAGGGAAGTTCCTCAACAAGAAAACATAAAATGAACAAGAAGCAGAAACCACTGAAGGTTCATATAGAAACGAAAAAGGTGATTGAGAATATAAAAGGAATAAAAGTGTAGCACAACTTGACGGAGATAGCATTTAAAACAACTAGAGAGAATAAGGTGCAGAGTTCAACAATCTCAAAAGAAAGGGTGACAAAACAGACAAACCAAAAGAAACAAACCCCCAAATTAACTATCACGCACTTTATACTACTTAATTTATAAACAATAACAATCACCCTATGCAGGATATGTCAACTCTAAGGAAGTCAAAATAACATAACCTAGCCTCTAACTAGTACTATCTTCATTTCACAGCGATTTTAACATTTGCCATTTGGGTCCCTTTTTAAAAACTCTTAACATGGTGCTTTATTCTGTTTTTGGTAGATCTTATTCACTATCTTACCGCACAGCATTTACACTTTTTCATTCGCTCTCTATTTCTTTATCCACCTTTTTTCTTACACTCACCCACCTTTTTAGACACTCTATCTTACTTTATCCATCTTTTTCTCATACAATCAACTTTTACACACACTCTTTCCTTTGTTTGATATTTGTGCAAATAGTATATCTTAAGATCATTGTGAAACAGAGGTAGTATAATCTTAAAAAACAACTGTATGCAATTGGCAATTACCATACCAATTCATAACCATTTCATTCATTACTCAGATTAACATGATTGGTAAACCAATCAAAAGTACGCAGTCTAACTCGCTGCAAAAATATGTAATAAATAGCTTGTACCAGTTAGACCCTTTAATGATACACGTCTATTAAAAAAAATTAAAAATATATATTTTAATTGTTTACAAGGCTACAATTTCATAGGAAATACGAAGTACAAGAAGTTTATTGTGCTTATTAACTTGAGTCCCCATAACCTAAAGCTATAATGTTATTAATAACTTTGCAACTCCATATGAAATTGACAAGTATACCACAAAACTAAGGAGGATTAATAGAAAATACAAGTAACAACTACAGCTGAATTATTACAAATAAAATAGTAAACCATCACCTTAGTGGAGGTACATCAGCAATTGGACTCAGTATGCAAATCGAGTGGTCCTTCCATATCAATGATTATTATCAGTCCGAGAATATCTAATCTTTCTGATGGAAGAATATAATATATGCTTTTCCATCTCATCATCAACTGATCAACTCCAAAGAGCCATGGACAATCATGAGCATATTCATCCTGCCCACGATTCATAGCTCAAGATTTACATTAGAATCCGAACTGGTTTAAATCTGGAGGAAAGTGAATTACGTCAACACATCATTGGGAACCTGATGAATTGTTCAATTACTGTGGTTTATTTGACAGAAAAATAACATAATAATCTTTGTATATTTTTCATACATTAGAATCTACGGGGGCTAATTGAAAAGTAACAGAAGTAGACTGCAAGTGAACAACTTACTATGTAGCTAAGATCGACAAGTCACCAACACAACCTGTACGGTTGTACCTTATACCTTCATAGTTTAGTCAGCCTAGTTGTGACTTGTATACAACCACAAAATCATGAAAGGATCTAATGACAGATACAAGTTACTTGGATTGATTCCCACAAAATGTAACTGTGAAGGTATAAACTATAAAGTGTCTTTGTTTGTTACTGCATGTAATCACGAACTACCCTAAATGGTGATAAATGAATTTCTCCATGCCACCTAATGACTGACAAGAAGATCCATCCAAAAATGAATGTAGTGGGTTGATTAATGCCTAAAGATAATTCCAGAATGTCAATAACAAGCTATTTATAATTGCCGAAAGGCAAAAGCATCATAAAGACACACACTTTCCTATCCATGTTGCAATCCCTCGTTAACCTACAACATACAATCAAAATGCACATAAGGTTAGGTACAATTAGCGATTAAACTAACTAGAATAGTAGTTTCCATGATATTTCCCAAGCTTGAAAAAAGTGGCACATACATGCTAAAAGGGATTGATCTTTCCATAACTGTCATTGGCATCATTTTCAACTCCCACTGTCCAAGAAAAATAATTTACCACTACCAATTTCATAAGAAATTCTTATATTAAGTCATGCCACAATAGTATTGTCTGTTTTTTAATCGTACGTAAAGGGTATGTGTCAAGCTTTTAAGACTTCTCAAGCACCTTTCAGGCTTTCACAACTAAAAACAATCTTACAAATTCACACAAGATAATAGATTTTGTACAAATGAATATGTCACATAAACACATGTATCCAAAACCAATACAATGTAAGCTCCACCACTTTCATTAATTTGCAAATAATAGGCAAAATTAAAGCATCCAGTTAAATGTAACCATGGCGGAGTGCCTAAGTACCCAACCTATTAATCATACAGATGAACTATCAACAATATCATCCTAAACATCACATCAAAAAACCCATCAAGACCTCTACACTAGTCTTGACTAATAATGGGTAAAATCAATAAGATTAACCAAAATAACAACAATGTCAAAGCCTTAATCCCAAAATCAAATAAATTCTAACCTTCCACATACTTTTCGCAGGAAAAAAAAAAAGGGATTGCAATTCCAAATTCAAAACCTTGTCAAAGCTGGCACCACCCTCACCACCTTAACATCATCATTACTCAGATATCTCAAATAAAGCACAAATCTTTAAATCAAACAGTTTTGATATTTCCATTTTAATCAAAGAAAAAGGGTTTTTTTTTTTTGGTTTAGCAATTGACAAAAAAAAAATAATCAACCCATAAACAACATACCAATTACAAAAAGATAAATAAAAATAAAGTAACTAGTAACTGAAAATCTAAAGAGCTAATATTATAATCCTGGATAACATACTAGGAGTGGGACTTGCCTCGTCAAGCACCACAAAGATAACCACAGTTAATTAAAGAAACCAAACTCAATTAAAATAATTAGGTTCTGAATCCAACTATACAAAGCCATAATTAACCAATAATTTATTTCTAAAGCACACAAAAACCCAAGATTATGCACCAAAAAGTTGTAATTTCTAATTAAAAATAGAGTGGAAGTATAAATATGGCATACAATACATAAATAGAATTGAAAACAATAATTCAAATGAACAAGAACACTGAAGCTCACCTGATTTTGGTGGCCTTTGGTTAAATTAAGGGTTAGGGTTGGAATCGCCAACTCTTCCACGCCAATTTAACATCAAACGACGCCATGCCAATATGGCGTGCCCTCTCCATGCTTCCCTTTTCCATTCACATTTTCAGGAGTTTAAAAGGCTGCAAAGGTTAAAAAAAAATTTATACTTTCTCCCTTTCTGCATATATGTGATACAAATCTTTTAGTTATTGATCAGTATAAATTTTAATAATTAAAATTTAATAATTTATTTATTGAGACGATTACAATAATTACCCATATAAAACTAAAGAGTATAATTGGACTTTTTTTATACTCTTTCTGTATCTATTTTGATTTAATAAAGCACATTTTATTTATTCGGCAAACAATTAGGAACAAAGAAAGTATAGAAATATAGGGTAAGAAGATAAGACCCTGACCAGATCGACCTTAACCAATTATGGAGTACTTTGTTTTTCAGGTCAACACTTGTAGAAGAGGGAGGTAAGAGAATCCCTCTACTTGAGTTCCCCACCAACTCCATCAAACGAAGCTTGGTTTAGTGTACAAGATTTTTTTTTTATTATTTTATTTTTTTGAGAAATAGTGTACAAGTAATATAATCATGTTTTGTTTGACATAAAGAAAATTGTATGTATTATGACAATTTTAATTGTTTTTTTCTAAATTTTTCAGACAATAATGATCTATCAATGATTTTTACCTCCCCTATAATTTTAGTGCAACCTAATAAGATTCTAATTAATTAAATTTTTCTACCTTAATTCTTATACTGTATTATATCATTCTTTACGAGCTCTAATATATGAAGTACGGAGTAAATATTTTACTAGTAATATAAAGTATTCTGTAATAAATAGAGTAATATAATAATGAAAAATGGTACTCATTTCGTTTCACTTTGTTAGTCCCATATAGAATCAATCACAAAAAAATAAGAGAATGAATAATATTTGGAATCTTCCATTTTAGTACAAAAATTGCTTAATTAGTTCTATCTTATTAAATGTTGTGATTTTTCTATTTGGAAAGCATCAATTACAATGTTTGTTTAATGGGATTGATGACCAATCAGAATATTTAATTACTGTCATGTCATCAATTCACTAATGGGATTAGAAATTATAAGACCAAATTAGGAAAATAAAATAAGATTTAAAAAGGAATAGGTTCAATACAAACTTTAAACAAAATCGGGTGTACAATAATTATTGTACATCCACTATAAAGATAGACTAGATTGATCAAAAGTTACCCCTAAAATAAATAAAAGCTACCCTAATATGCATAAAAGTAATCCAATACAAATAAAAATTATTAGTGAAGAATCACATTTTAAATGACTAAAAATCAATTATTTGTGATTAAATGTAATTAAATTACCATTATAAAACTTTTCTTATTGTCTATTTATATAAAAAAATTGTATTATGTTAAAAGCTACCCAAAAAAAAAGCAAAAAGTTACCCTAAAATTAGGTAAAAATTACCCTTATACTGCTCGATGTACAGTAAAATTAGTGTAAACCAGGTGTATACAAAAGTTTTTATAGATTCAATATAGGTAGATCATTTTGAAACGCTCAAAATAGTATATGGGACTAACATTATGAAACGGATGGAGTATTTCGAAATTATAACATGAAAGTTTTAAGGATCAAATTAAATTAATTTGTCAAAAATAAAAGGAATGGAATATTATTAACGATTGGAAATTATTTGGAATAGTATTTGACCCTAACTATTGCAATAGAAAATGGTTTTCAATGCTTTAGGTGAAGGTGAACGGTACTTATTAAAAGGTTTTGAAAAATTATGATTTTATTAGTACAAGCAATGGCCCCCATTCCTCAGATCCATTAAAATCTTACTTCAACATACGACAGGTTTATAAGTTGTTGGTAACACACTAACAAACCGCCCTTGATTGTTGTACTTTAATGTAAAGTGCAATAATTCAATGGTTTATCTAAAAGATCTATAAAAATAGTATTGTACATTATTCATTAAGCATCATCCATTCATCATACATACATTTTGGTCAACTCAAAGTGTATATGAAGTAGATATTATCATTTGAGGAGTATCATATTACCCTTAAAGGCAAGTACTCAACGCAAGGACAATATTAAAAAAAAAATAAAAATGATTCAATTTAAAAGTTAAAAGTTAAATCTACTTGGTAAATCGAAATAGAGGAAGTATAAGATATAAAGCGTTTGGACAGGTACCCGTATCGTTAGTACTAACAGTTTGGGTATTCGATAACCAAAATTCCTAAAAGTGATATCCATAACCCGAACCGATAAGTTCGAATACCCAGATTTTCGGATCGGTTATCGGGTACCCAATAAGATGTCCAATAATAATAATTAAACTTAATTATATAGTTATTATTATGATATAATTTACCACTAATTAACAACAATACCATATGATTTTGACCAAATTATTAATAATATTACTAATCATTGATAATATAAAGTAAGAGTTTAGATTTTAAAAATATAGATTTAAGTAGGGAAAAAAGCAAAAAAATACTTATCGGAACGAATCGGGTAACCGTTATTTTTAAAATGATACCCAATAACCATACCCGATAACAAATTACCGGAACAGGTACCGAACCGTTATGGTTATCGGATCGGGTACCCTAATTTTCGGAACGGTTACGGATTGGTTTTTCGGGTAGTTTTGCTCAGCCCTACTTAAAAGTGGTATTCTTCAAGGGGGAAAAAAAACAAAAACTGAATTAATACTACCTCCGTTTTTTTTTTGTTCACACGTTCTGACTTTAGCACTATCCATACACTCTCCTTTGACTGTATTTTGTGGTTTATCCGTGATGAAAAATATAGTCATGTGGGATATTGTTAGATTTGTCACGATATATATTTTCAAAATATCAATGGTTAAAGTTGTGTATTGACAAACGTGACTAAAAAAAAACGTGTCATTTAAAAAGAAATGGAGAAAGTAGAATCGAATTCTTATCACCATTGGGCTCAAACAAATTGAAGTTGATACGACATTGCATGGGTTGGGCCCAAGGGAGTCTTTGGGCCGTAACTGTAATTGAGTACCAATCTATTGTTTTTGGGCTAAATCAGGGTCATGAATTCATGATGCTAGCTAATTACCAACGGCCAACTTAATATTTTTCCAATGGTTTGGCCTGATGTGAGTGTTTTCCAATGCACAAAGCATAGACCAGTACCATTTTTTTTTAATTTTTTTTATTTATTTTTACAACAAGCAATCAAGCATTTAAGCATATATACATGTACTTTGTATTTCTATTTCACATTTCACAAAATACGGAAAATAATCCTCGCCCCCCCCCCCAAAAAAAAAAAAAAAAGAAAATAAAGGACACAAAAACTCCATTGGCTTTAAGTTGCCAACCGAGGTTGTTGCCTTTGAGGCTACGATCTAAATTTTAATACTGTATGAATTTTTCATTAGTGCTGATAATTTCCGGTTCTTATTAATCACAACAAAGGAATATTTTATATCTCATAAATAATACCCCTTTGTTGCGAGTAATAAGAACCGGAGATAGTATTTATGTAAATAAATTGGGCTAATTCAACTTTAAGACAATGTCATTGAGGATGAAGATATCGAAGGTGTTTGAATATTGTGTTGATGATATATATGATTGAGGACAAAGGGGAGGGGGTGATTGATCATGACCTTTTATATTTTTAATTAAATAATTTATTTTCAAGAGATTTATTTTTCTTTATTTAATTAATAGATTGATTACAGCGAGTCAGCAACGCGTGAAATAAAAGTACAAGTGTATTATGTGCATAGTTAATTAATCATATATATTTTTAATAGTTGAGTATTAATTTAAATAAATGTGTAAGCGTAATTATGACATATCATCGTATGCTTCAATTTTTTGTCGAATGTATTTATCTTCCATAATCCATACATCACTTTATTTGAAAAATGGCATGCACAAGCATGAAATCAAGCTGAATTCAAAGTCAACAAATTGTAATATACTCCAACTTGCATGGTAAGATAAAAGCCCAGGCCATTAATTGATTTTGCTTTCACTTGATTAGTAACATGATATCAGCATGCAACATAAAACAAAGTACAATGACATCGTCCAACAATACAAATTAAAACAAATCGCGAAAATGAGAAATGAAAGAGAAAGCAATGCAAATCAGATGCAAAATAAAAAGATCAACAGATTAAAGCAGAAAACGTAACAACTAACACACCAAACATCAACATTTTTAATCAAACAATCTCGCAAAAACTACTCATCATCATCATTGTCATCGTCGTTGTCGTTGTCGTCCTGATTTTCTTCCACCTTCTCTGCTGCCTCCTCAGCGAGATGATCAGTAAACTGATCATAGCCTTCAGCTAAAGCAAGTCCTCCCAAAATTCCTGCAGCTGCTCCTATAGCAATTCCTGTACCCATTCCTCCAAAACTGCTCTTTTTCTTCTCCTCTACTGGCTGCTGCCCGTACTGCCCTTGATCGTACCCGCCATACCCTTGCTGCCCATACCCTGCAGAAGGATAGCCTGCAGCTGCAGGCTGTCCATAAGCAGGGGACTCCCCGTTATACTGCGGGGCGCCATAGTCAACGTCCCTAGACGTTGTCATTGACGCCCCGTGGTGAGGAGGGGGGTAAGAATTATAACTTTGATATCGCTCACGCACAATGATCTCAAGCTCAAGCTTTCCCTGAGGCCGACCAGAGGAGCGCTTGAGCTTGAGCTTGCGCTTGACACTGTTCCCAATGCCTACATCGTCCAACACATCACGTAGATCTAGCTTTGCAGTGCCGATGTGAGGCTTGGTGTCCTCATCGACATCTGCAAAGTGGACAACCTCGATGGTTAAGGTAGCATCGTCTATAGGACCATTTAGAGGGACCTTCAGTGTTTGGTCCCATCTAGGGTTTGTGTCACCCTCGTCGTCGGTCCGGGTCGTGACTTTACGATCCGAATCGAACCACATTATGGCGTACGGCTTCGTAGGGCCGTAACGCCAATTGACATTCTTGATATCCTTAGCGGATAATACTGTTACTTCAACCTCGTACCTTGAGGCCATTTGAATCAACACTACACTTATTAAGGAAGATTTTTTTTTTTTTTGTTTGTTTTTGCACTTTGGACATACAATGAAATACTACTATCCTAGTATCTTAAGGACTATGGTATTTATAACATTTCTTTGGGTACCATTTGTCTAAAAAATTTCCCAAAGTACCCTTTTGTCCGTGTTATTTTCGTGGGTGCACGATGCTCTAAGCGCATATAGGCAGTATAGCATAGTAGTTAGTAGTTCATTATTAAGGTTCGTTAGTTCATCTTTTCAAATCTTTGGAGTTAACAAGTAACAAATTAACAATATAAATATAATCATGTTAAAACTTAAAAGGTTACCATTTTATGTACTTTGTATATATTAGAGATATGAATTGTTTGAAATTAGGGAGAGTCCGAGAGATAGTATTTGTTAAATCATATAATCATAATGTTAATCTAAATGATAAATCAACATTATATTATAGACTAATTTCGCGAAAAGAAAAAAAAAAGATTAATTATAATCATAAATTTTTATGTTAGGTTTGAATGTTAAATTATACTCATACTTAAAATGAACGAAATATATCCTCTACGAAAAAAGACGATCTTAATTATTGGAAAACTTAGTAGGGTAGATAGCTACATTTTGTTTATTTTTTTTAAAAAACAAAATATGTAATATATTGTGTGTAGAATTTGAGTATTGCATAAACGAATAATAATATTTTGAAAAGATTTGTGGCTAAAAGTTACTGTACTATGTATACTTCTAATTCTTTGTATCTAACAATTATTTCCATTTATCTTTTTGCCCCAATCTTAAATTCAATATTTGACATTTATACATCAATCAATCAATAACATAATAACAGACACCAAGAATGACACGTGTCATTTCTTGGTGCTGTCATTTTTCCTCCAAAACCATCCTTCATCTTCTCTTGCCAAAATAATATTTATAGAATATGATTTGTTATTGGTTTTTCCTTAATCTTCTATATGTATACACAATTATTTCAAATTTTATTCTAAATATTATAATTTGTATCTTTCCTTGCCAAAATCTTTTAAAATAATACTCGATTTACTATTTGGTTATTTTTTTGGGTAATCATACTTTTTTTATACTACGTATAATGAGATGCATTTTATATTGTGTTGAGAAAAATAAACTAATGTGACTATTTTCTTTTCTCCAAAAAATTGCAAGATCACTTTGACTATCAGCTAAACTTCATTTCCTCTATTTAATCCCATTTTACCATATCACATCCCTATTTTGTTTGTTTTTCCTTTTCACTTCGTACCTACCATTGAATTAAAGACTAGAGTATCAAACATTATTATTATTGTTGTAGTAAGTCACGTATTGATTTTAAAACTATTTCAATAATATATAATATAACTTTAATTTAATTTATGCAAAATTATATTTTTTGGTTAAATTCGTGCATCGCTTGGGCACTAATCTAGTTTGAATCTATAATCATGTCAATTGAATCAACTTGTATTTAAAATTAATTGACATTAGGTTTTAATTCTTAAACTTGTACATTCACATGTTAGAGGATGATTTTTTTTTTTTTTTTTTTCTGTTTTTTTTGGGTCAAGTACCTATACCGTGTCATTTACGTGGGCTTACATTCCTCTTTTCGTTTTTCAAATTTAGAAGAAACGTTTAACGTTTTAAAACGTTTCAATAATGAAATAAAAGCACAAAACGTATAATTATATTGTACGGAATATATATTTAAACAAAAAATCAAACACTAATGTCCTTTGGCTTCTCGATGCAATATATCTTGAAGATTAAGTAATTGCCATACATAATACTCCGTACATAATTAATTAAGTACGAGGAAACAAATAAATAAAAAGATGTGTCTTCCCACTCACTATTCACATGGTACTCTATTTATTTTTCTTCCTCAGTGGCGGATCTAGGATTTTCAATTCGGGGGGACAAAATGCTTAACTTACAAATAGCTTAACAAAAAATAAAAACAAAAAAAAAACTCAAACACACAAATTAGTTAATACTTAATATTAAAATTTCAAAATAAAAAACATACTTAGTCATACAATTCAAATGATGAAAAAAATTACATAAACATTACATTAAAATTACACTTTCATCCTTCGAGTCTTCATATTTTGGAAGCGATCAACAATTTTTTCATCGGAAACTCTTAGGAAGACATCCTTCTCAATAAAAGTGACCAAACAATCATTCATAAGTTGATCACCCATGCTATTTCGCAACTTATTTTTGACACATGTCATTGCGGAAAAGACTCTTTCAACACTTGCCGTGGCAACCGGAAGAATCAACATCAACTTGATAAGCAAATGAATAAGAGGAAAAGTCTTATGCTTATTAGTTCAAGCATCATAGAAAGAGAGTTAAGGTCATTTAAACCTTGAAATCTATCATCATTTAGCATATTCTCCATGAATATATCAAGTTGACATTCAAGAGCCATCAAATCAAAGCTTGAAAATTCTTCGGGATAAAAAGAGGCAAGTTTAAGTACCTTATCTTTATCAAAGGATGAGAAGTTATCTTTAGGACTTAAACAAGCCATACATATTAGTATCTCCATATTCCTCTCATTAAATCGATCATCAAGTTCTTGAAGATGCAAATCAATCACTCTTACAAAAATTCCAACCCGAAAATGATGTTCATTTGTTGCTTCTTCAACAAAACGTCTTGATCTTCCTTGAGGAACATAAGGAGAATCCATAGTGGGAACAACAATACCATGTTTAGCACAAAATGAAGTTACCTTGTTTAAGAGAGTATCCCATCCTTGCTCCCTCATTTTTTGCAACACCAATTTTGTGTAAGTGACAAGTTCCATGGCATTTACAATATCTTGCTCCTTTCTTTGCAAAGCAACACACAAATCATTAGTGTAACCAAAAATAGTCAACATCAAGTGAGCAATAAAAACAAAGTCAAATGACTCTAATTGTCCTAAAACAATTTGAGCTTTGAACTTATCTTCCGATACACCATGCTTCCCAATGTGTACAAGTACCTTAACAATTGTAGGAAATAAGAGGATGATGTTTGAAATAGACTTGTAATAAAAACTCCAACGAGTATCCCCGGGCCTTTTCAAACCAAGTTCTTGATTTAAACCCGATCCACTCACAATATCCCCTACATCCAATGCTCGAGCAACTTCTTGAGCTTGATCTTGTCGAATCATTTCTCTTCTCTTGCAAGAAACTCCAACCACATTCAATAAATTTGCAAGTATCTCAAAAAGCCAACCACAACTATCATTCTTTTTAGCAACGGCAACTAGTGTTAGTTGAAGTTGATGAGCAAAACAATGTACGTAGTAGGCACTTGGAGTATCATTCATAATCAAAGTCTTAAGACCATTTATTTCACCTTTCATGTTGCTAGCTCCATCGTACCCTTGCCCCCTTATCATAGATGGACTCAATGAATGTTCAACAAGTAAAGACATGATTGCATCTTTAAGAGTTAAAGCGGTAGTATTACTAACATGAACAATGCCTAAAAATCGCTCCATTACCTTTCCACTATCTCTATTAACAAAGCGCAAAACAAGAGCTAGTTGTTCTTTTTGGGACACATCACTTGACTCATCGACTAATATGGCAAAGTAATCATCACCAACTTCTTCTATTATGCACCTAGTTGTTTCTTTGGCACAACAATTAATAATGTCCTTTTGAATAGAAGGGGAAATCATTTGACAATTTTTAGGTGCTTTTTCAAGAGTATGTTGTCTTACTTCCTCAACCTTTTCTCCTAACCATTTCAAAAGCTCAAGGAAATTACCCCTATTATATGACTCCCCGCTTTCATCATGTCCACGAAATGCCAAACCTTGCCCCAAAAGAAACCTTAAACAAGTTAAAGATGCATTCAAGCGGATAAAATATTCACTTTTAATCACCTCACTTGCATTGTCAAACACATTCAAGATTGATTTTTTTTTTCCATCTCTTAAATTCACATATTTCTCATAAGCAAGATTATGAGCACTGTTAATTCCACCAACATGCTTCTCAAATCTTTCCGGTTTATTCCATGCCCTAAACCCTCCATCAACAAATGCATCACCCCCCGAATAACTATCAACTTCATTCTTGAACAAGTAACATACAAAACAAAATGCAGCATCTTTTTCAATACTATACTCAAGCCAATCCCATTTCTTGAACCAATGAACACTAAAGCGACGTAAACCACACACTTGTCTTTGAGGAAAGTCATGAGTTTTTGGTTGGCAAGGTTTTTTAAGAATATAACCCCTCCTAACTGCATTTCGTTCATTTGCGGGGTAATCCATTATGTTTATTCTTTTTCCCGGATCATGAGGAAGAAGTTCAACATCGTATACCAAATTTTCCTCCAATGGTACATTACAAGTACTTGAACCACCCATTTCCATATCATCTTCTTGACTTTGAGGGGGGCTTAATGAAGGGGAGTTATTTGACTCATTTTCATGGAGTTTCTTTCTTTTATACAAGAATTGTCGAAGATCGGGTTGTTTTCTAGTAGCCTTGGATTTGTTTGAATTAGGTGAATCATTTGACATTTCCTAATTACATTAAAAAATATATATCAATTATTCAATTTCGGAATTTCCACAATTCACATCATTGCATAAATGCATACTATAAAACCTAACATTAAAATTGCAATTAAAATTAAAATTCAACAAATATTGCAATTAAAATTAAAATAATTCAACAAAAATCTGAAAATTAGGGTTAACAATTGGTGAATTGGGGATTTCAAATTAACAAATTGGGAATTTCGAAATTCGAATTAGGGTTAGCAACTTAGCAAGACATACCATAAGTTTAGCAGCGACTCAGTGAGTGGTGAGGAACCCAGGGGCCAAGGCGGACAGGCGGTGGTCGGTGGAGCAGCGAGCCAGTGACGCCTGACGCACTCACGCACGCGCCTGCAGCGAAGACTGAAGATGGAGCACAGCCGCACAGGAGCAGCGACGCACCACGCACGCACGAAGCCTCGACGGTCGCCGGTTGGTGGAATGGTGGAGCAGCGACGCAGTGGACTAGTGGAGTAGTGGTAATGGCGAATTGGAGTGAAGATTGAAATTGAGCAGCGCTGTGCGATTTGTTTTGCTTTTTTTTTTTTTTTTAATTTTTTTTTTAAATTGGGGGGAC